GGAGGGTGGCAGTTTTTGTTGGTGTTGTTTTGTTTTATTTTGTTTTGTTTTTTGAGACAGTATCTTGCTACATAGTCTTAGCTTTCCTGGAACTCTCTATGTAGACCCGTCTGGCCTCAAACTCATAGAGAGCTGCCTGCCTCTGCCTCCTGAGTGCCCAGCCGTACCTTAATTTTTTAAATAGTAGTCCGTGATAGGAAAAGCTCTGTGTCATATCAGCAAACCTAATCATAGACCTGGATTTTAGAGCCTTCTCTGTCAAGGCTGTGGATTTGAGCCGCATATTTATCAAGTTACGTGGTACTTAAAGCCAGAATTCTTTTTGCTTCCGGTGTTAACGATTATTTGAATGTAAGTTTTATGCTATGAAAGGAAAGTTGAGAAGTTAGCTGGGTGTGGAAGTGAATGTCTGTAGATCCTAGTGCTCGGGAGGTCGAAATAGGAGATCAGGGGCTAGGGTTCTTTCTTCCACAGATAACTTGAGTGTGACACCAGCCTGGGCCATGTGAGACCCTGTCTCAAAATACAGACAACCACAGAGTTCAAAAAGCTGCCTTAGAGGTGCACTTTTGAGGAACTGAGGATGTGGAGGACATACTTAGCATGCAAGAGGCCCTAGATTCAGTCCCCAGCACCTAACCTAATAAAAGCATGTTTTGTTCTGGTAGAGGCTAGAGGATATTCCCAAAGTCTGATGAGGAGCCAAGAATTTAGGATTAAATTTAATGACTCAAATTCTAAAAAACAGGGTGGGTTTTTTTTATATTCATACCTAGGAATTCATCGATTTAGAAATCAAAATGACTACATCTCTTTATCAGAATGCGAGTATATAAATTTGTTTAAATGAAAGATGCTTTTATGAATACAAAGTGCTCTTCTGCCTACATTCTTAAATTACTATTAATTAAGCACTATGTAATATAATAGATAATTACTGTGCTTTAATATGGATGCTGGCGGATTTGCAAGTCTTTCTAAGTAGCTATTGTTGGCTAATATTCTTTGGGGAATCATTCATACAGCCATTGTGGCTCTAAAAAAAAATCTCTAAATACCAGTGGGACAGATATTTTTGAAGCATGGATGATATAAAGTAGAATGCACTTTTATTTGAAGTGCATCATTTTGATCATAGTTTTGTTCATATCACTCAACTACATTTACAATCTTTGCAGCAGAAGAATAAAGGAAAGCTTGTTCTGTGGAGGGAGATTTTTCAGAGCAATACAGTAGCTTGAAAAAAGAAATCGGATCTATTTACTGGGATTTTTAACTGCTCTGTTCATTAGAATTTTATCTGGAGATGTTTTTATGTGGCCTTATTGTTTTTATTTTAATTAATATTTCTATGACAGATAATTAGGTAAAAGCTGTTGAATATTAAATATGGTCGTAGCTTAGGGGGAAATAATCATTTCTGGGTCAAAGCTTTTCACAAAATATTGTGATATGTGAGCTAATTAATTGAATTGAATGCCAAGTGGGTTACCACCATCCAACCAGACTCTCACAGTTACTCAGTTCATTATCTGAGGTTGTTCGGCATGGAATGGCTGCTTGTGTCAAAGTTAATGGTGTTCTTTTTAATCTTAGCTACTAATGGAGTAAATCTTGATTAGAAAATAGTTCCTACCTCATTAGATCTAGCTGAGTGTAAGAATATCTTGATCTGTCTGTCACATCAAGCCTTTTTCTTGAAAAAAAAAATTGAGTTAGCCAATCGGTGATAGCTCATGCCTTTAATCCCAGCACTTAGGAAGCAGAGGCAGGCAGATCTCTGTGAGTGCAAGGACAGCCAAGGCTACACAGAGAAACCCTGTCTCAAAAAACAAAAACAAACAAAAGGGTAACAACATGTAACTAGCATGTTGCAGTGTGACAGAACATTGGAAATCTGGACTCATAGTGAGTTTTAGGTGCTGTTTGTCATATTAGTTGTTTTGATAAAGAACACTCTGACTTATAAAAAAGTCTTCCCTTTAGTGCTGGGGATTGAACTTAGAACTCTGTATAAATTATAAATATTTTTGTTAAAAATTCCAGGATAGGCTGGGCGGTGGTGGCGCATGCCTTTAATCCCAGCACGTGGGAGGCAGAGCCAGGCGGATCTCTGTGAGTTCAAGGCCAGCCTGGGCTACCAAGTGAGTTCCAGGAAAGGCGCAAAGCTACACAGAGAAACCCTGTCTCGAAAAACAAAAAAAAAAAAAAAAATTCCAGGATAGTCTTTATTAATTAGTACCTTGGCTCACTTTAATAGTTTCTTGGAATTTGAAGGCAGACTCTGGCTGGGAAGACGACTCTATGGGTAATGGCGCTTGCTGTCCACGTGTGTAGGTCTGAGCAAGAATCTCCAGTATCCATGTGAAAGCCAAGTTTAGCTGTGCGTGGATCTGTAACCCCAGCACTGAGGACAGTGCCTCGGTCACTGTTCTGCTGCTGTGACATCACCCCACGACCACAGCAACTCTCGTAGAAGAAAACATGCTATTGGGGCTGGCCTACAGTTTCAGAAGTTTAGTTTGTTATCATCATAGTAGAGAACACAGTGGCACACAGGCAGACGTGGTCCTATCCTAGAGAATTAGCTGAGAGTTCTTTATAGAGATCCACAGGCAGCAGGAAGAGAAAGAACCACTGGGCATGGCTTGGGCCTTTGAAACCTCAAAGCCCACCCCCAGTGACACACTTCCTTCAACAAAGCCACGCCTCTTAATCCTTCTCAAGCAGTACCACTCCCTGATAATTAACCATTCAAATATGTGAGCCTATGGGGGCTATTCTTATTCAAACCACCACAGGCAGAGGAGACAGGACTGATGCTGCTGGCTGCCACCCTAGCTCCAGGTTCAGCAAGAGACACTGTCTCAAGGGAATAAGGTGGAGAATGATAAAGTAGGACATCTGATGTTTTTCTCTGACCTCTGCAGGCACACACACACCACACACATATCCCACATGCACACACAGACATGTACACATACACATACACCACACACATTCACACAACCTTTTGAATATTACTGTCTGCAACCATTGCCTAATGTAGATCAGAATTATCTTTTTTTTTTTTTGGTTTTTTCGAGACAGGGTTTCTCTGTGTAGCTTTGCGCCTTTCCTGGATCTTGCTCTGTAGACCAGGCTGGCCTCGAACTCACAGAGATCCGCCTGCCTCTGCCTCCCGTGTGCTGGGATTAAAGGCGTGCGCCACCACCGCCCGGCTGTAGATCAGAATTATCATACCATTCTGTAACCAAAACTAGAAACAACCCTGTGGCTGATAAAGGACTATAAGTGTCACTTTATTAGAGTGGGATTTGTGTTTGTAAATACAGCCTTGCTCTTTGCATTGATCATTTTCTTTTTCTCTTCTTTTCTTTTCTCTCTCTCTCTCTCTTTTTTTTTTTTAGAGCAAATGTAGCTAGTTGTATGTAACTAAAATCTGGAATTCTTCTTTTGTTCAGTCTTCGCCGAGCTATGTAGTAAACAATTAGTCATACCTAAGCATTTATTAAAGTATAGAAATTGGACAGCATAACCTATTGTTTGTCATAGCTCAAGCTTCTCTAACGAAATGCCACATACTACATAGTAGTTTGTAAACAAAATATAAAGCCACTTATTTCTCACAGTTATAAAGGCTGGGAGGCTCAAGATCAAGGCACTGTCTGAGTCAGTGTCTGAGGAGGGCTTGACCCCTGCTCAAAGCTTGTCTCACTGTGCTCTCACATAGTAGACACAGGAAGCAGGCACTCCAGACCCCTAAAAGGTCACTCATCCCATTTATAAAAGATCCACCCTCTAGACTACATACAGTCCTAATTACATGTCAAATATTCCACCTTCCAATTCTATCATGTTAAGGGGTAGGTTTCAGTTTATGAAGTTGGAGGAGATATCAGTCTTCAATCTGTGATAGTATATAATTTCATTACCTTCATAGTTTATTAGTCTTTCATACAACTAAAAATGTTGTGTTCACAATGTAAAAGATAAAGAAATTAAAACATGTTGTAAAATGAATGTTAAAGAGACTAGACAGAGAGACTTATGTGAAGCTACTTTGCATTTTATGTATGATTTCTCTTGCTTTGGAAATTGTGTTGGGGGTCAAAGTTTGCAGCCCCATATCACATGTCAACTTTTCCAAAAAAAACTCCCAAAAGAGGGATATTAGGAGGTTTTAGGATGGGGGACACAGAAAGTAGGGGAGCAAAGTGAACAAAGTGCAATGACTAGTGATAATTGTATAACAATGTCACACTGAAACCTATTATTTTGTGCATTAACTAAAAATAGAATTAGGAAGAAGCGGGTTTTGTTTTGTTTTGTTTTGTTTTTAGGCTAAAATTTTAGGCTCCTGATTTTTACTGGAGTTGGGTCAGTCTCTCTTCACCATAGTAAGGAAATCCTAAATCACTTTCCCAACTTTCTTTTTTGTGGTATTGATACAAACTTAAGGCCTCACGGGTACTAGGCAAGCACTTTATCTACCATTGAACCAACTCCTTACAGGTGTGTTTGAAAGGTAAAGGTGAATGGCCTTGGGACCTGATGTGTGTCTTGTGGGTTTTCTTATCCTTATTCTTGCCCTAAATGAAAACGAATGGCTTTGTAAAGTCTTGCTGTATCAGAACATGAAGGCTTCACTTTCTGTACAACTGGGGTATATACTCAGAAGGCTTAGAAACGTCATTTTTTAAAACACACTATTTATGCATTGGTTTTTCATAAACACCTCTACTCTCAAATATAAGGAATCTCTTAGTAAATGGAATAATAATCACATATTGAGAAAACTTTGTCAGAAGGAAGAAGACTTGAATGTTTGAAGCGTTCCGTATAAAGAATTTCTCAAAGTTTATCTTTAATAAATAGTGCATTTGTTGGTAGAGTTTCACTCTCGTCCCCATCAGTCATCATGTTCCTGTAATGAACACTATTCAGGTACCTTTTGGTCCTGTCTTTGCTCACACTGTGTTTGTTTTCTTCCTTTGTAGAGACGCTCCTTGATGACTTCCTTCTCACATATACAGTATTCATGACAACTGATGACCTGTGCCAGGCGCTGTTAAGACAATATCCTTCATTAACTTCAGGATGCTGTGCAGGCTTCCTCTCAGACAGACTTCCTGCATTACAACTAACTGCCTTTCTTAATTTACTCAACCCCCAGTGAAGTGTGGATGTATTAAATATTAATGTAGTGATATCCAAGGTGAAGATGGAATGAGACAGGACACACAGGGGTAGCGGGGAGTGCAGGGCTGCTGTCTTCACATTCTGTGCTGTGGGCAAAGTGTTCTGCTTATATCATGTTTACTTTATATCTGCTTCTCGTGGTTGCTTAGGGAGCTGGAAGTAAGCTCGCCTTCCAGGTAAATCCAAGTGAACAGGTCAAGTAGATCGACAATGACAAACAGTAAGTATCTTTATTGGAGAATCAGCCATTTAGAGTTAGACCTCTTGTGTATCCACCCCACCCGTGTGTGTGTGTGTGTGTGTGTGTGTGTGTGTGTGTGTGTGTGTGTGTGTGTGTGTGTGTGTGTGATGTCATATTCCTGGGAAAGCATCCCTGGACACCCAAGCTGTTCTCCCCCATAGGAAATCTACTCTCACCCCTGGATGCAATTGTCATCTTTTTGGAGTGTTTTCACTCACTGCATGCTTTTCTCAAGTGCCAGATGGGATTAGAAGGTTAATCTCCAGCTAAGAAAGCCTTATAGTTTTACTCAGTAACCAGAGAGATGCTGCATTAAAGGCCATAAGCCCACATAAACTGACAAGAAGTATCCACCAGGGCTTCTTGCCTCACCGTGCTTAGAGAAGATGCCTCAAAAGCAATTAAGTATTTAATAAGTTAATTTAGTTAATTAATTTTATTGCTAATAGTAATAAAATTAGTTATAGCCTTTAAGCATTTAATAAAAAATACCTTAATGCTTTTATTAAACCAAACTAGAGATTCCATTTCAATCTACACAAAATGTTTAGGAAAATAGAAAGCCAAAGATTTTATTAAATCTAATGATAATGGCCATTTAAGATTCTTTTCCTGTTAAATGATTGTTATATGTCTCCCAACTACACTGGAGCCTGGTGGCAGGTCACAGCCTTGTGAAAGACCCTGTCTCAAACAAAATGGTAGGTATTGCCCAATGAATATCATTCATGGTTGACCTCTAAACTCACCTCCAGGAGCACGCATGTGAACCTGCGCATATACACAAACACGTGTCCACACACAAAACCAGAAGTATTTATATAGATATAGATATATGTGTATGTCTGAACTAGAAATAACATATATTTATACATGAACAGTTTTGGAGCTTTACTGATGCCTCTGACCAAGCAAAACTATAGATACTTTGACAGTTTCTAAAAACTGACTCGTAAAACTGATCTTAAAATGTTAGTTTTTGAATTTGAAAATTTTCAACAATATACAGATCTTTCTGTATATTGTTGAACAAATCAGCAATTATTATAAGTTTTTAAATTTCTCCTTAAGATGTGTTTTGGGGAAAATAATCTGTGAACAACTTTCATCTACATTTTAATGCTTACCTACTCTAATGCGATCAGTGCCCATTAACTATAAGAATTATGTCCTATAGCAAATTATATATGCCTTCAAACAGCTGTCTTCAGCTATGATCCTACTGTTATTTTTATTACCACTTAATAATTTAGTGCCCCTGCAGATGTTTCCAAAGAATATCTGAGGATCTCCTTGGGTATTAGTGTTTTTCAGTCTTTAAGTAGGACATTTTATACAAAATTTTAGTTATTTCTGCAACCTTCTCATTATTAAAGTCCCCAAATGGAAAACATTTTAAACCACATTTTTTTTTTGCATGACTGCTTTTGTGTCTTGCCATCTGTGAAATCACACAAATCACAATCAAAGCTATGACACCCGTGTTTAATAACAAGCTAGTCTGCTCCTGTCTTCATGAAGATGCCTGTTACATTCCACTACTAAAGAATGATCCAGGTCATTTTTGTTTGTTTTTTTTTCCCCATGATTTTTAAACACTGTTTATAGATTGGAACCATTTTACAGTGCTTGGATATTTTATATGGATATTTTTATTGTAGTAGGATCAAATGGCTTTTGGCTTTTATCATAGTAAAGCACATTATTTAAGCTTATAGCCAGGGCCAGCTAATATTCAGTGCATTACAAAGACCCTGCGGCTCACCCAGTTCCCTTCCCCCACCACTACATTTATAAATCAGTATAATTAAGCCTGAGCAAAATATAAAAGAACCTATACCCTAGTACAGTGAAGCAGAAGAACAAATGCAAATTTAATCAGTAAGTATTCTAAAAGGTATTGCAGAAGAGAGAGATGGCTCAGCAGTTAAGAGTACTGACCGATGTTCCAGAGGACCTGGGTTCAATTCCCAGGCCATCCAGCGTCCGATCACACCAAGATTAAAAAAAGAAAGAAAGATGCATGTATTGCAGGGAACATGAAGTAAAATAATCTATAAATTGAGAATAATAGTTGATCACTCAGTCTTCAAATTGCTTTATTATGCTGATGTGTGGCTGTGGGACTTAATATGACTAGAAGAGATCGAAGTTGTTGGTGTTTCTCAGCTGGCTACATCTTCCTCCTTGCTAGCCTTTGATGGAAAAGAACAAATGTGCAAATAGAATTAACCTTTACAGTTGCTTTTCAAGAGAAAAACTAAAAGAAATAGGCACTTTAACAGGCAATTTTTGTTTGTGTGCATGGCTGACTTTAAAAGTGGCCACCGTGTATTCTTCCAAGTTAGGGAGAAAGTGCCTGAGTCATGTTTTTACGCATTACAGAGTCTGTGAATAGCCCTTTCTGTTTTGCAGCTGTCCATCAGCGTTAACAGATACGCGGTCTTGACGAACCATCTCCCAATGCTTTCTGTATCCTGTTAGCTTTTCAACACAATCAGGACCGTCAGGGGCTGGGAATGGTGGTGAGGTGCACACCTGTAACCTCAGTTCTTGGGAGGTAGAGACCAGAGGATGAAAAGTTGAGGCCAGCCTGTGCTACAAGAGACTTTGTCCTGAAAAAAAAAGAAAAGGAAGAAGGAATGAGGAAAGAAAAACAGAGAGAGATGATCCTTTTGAGGGAACAAAGAGTAGATGAGTTTAGACAGTGCTGAGCCCTAGTCTCATTCCTAATCATCCAAGCTTGCTACTTTGAAGTTATTTTAATAATTAGTTAACACATGGTCATTATATATAAATTAGGAAATGATAATTAGTAAAATGCCTCAGATATTCTCAAATCTCGCTGCATTGAAAAGCCACTGTTAACCATCTATATGTCTTTCTAACTAATTAAAATATTCATAGAAGAATTATTAAAATAGTCATATAAGCATTATTAACCCAAGTAGAAAATGCTGCTGTTTTCTTGATTTTTGTGCTCAACAATGTACTGTGAATGTTCATTTCCATATATGTATTGACCCCATTTTTATGGCTTCAAAGTCATTTATTTAATGAACATCTAATCATTAATTTAATTGACTTCTTGCTGGAGCACTTGGCTCTTCCCCTGGTATATTTTTAAATTTACTCTAATGAAGGTGACAATCAGCAACCCTTTTTACCTGTGTCCTTGCTCATTCATCTGGTTCTTCCTTCATGTAAATTCTCATTTGAATCAGCTCACAAATTGTGTTCCAGACAGCTGTGCTCATCTGGAACAACTTTAGAAGCAACTGATTTTATAAAATATGAATTTCTGAAGATCAAAGATTGCCTGGCTTCCTTCTGATGTGCCTCATCAAAATAGTATTCACCTGTGTAGTGAGATGGCATCTTCTTTGGAAGCTGCTCTTGATATCTGTGGGCCACCTCGTGTGGCTTTGAACTGACATTAATCCCACGCTGCCCCTGGGACTCGTCAGCAGCTGCAGTGTGAGGTCCAGCCCTCAGCTGCATGGCCTCCCACTGGGGATGCTTCAGTCTGTTTCTGGGTTTGCTTTCATGCTTTTCACAGCACACCCTCTGCTCTCCCTGCTCAGGTTCTGTTCTTTTACCTTTATATGGCTCTAAATTCTTTGGAAATTACGCTTTAGCCTATTTTGTAAAAACTAGACCAAATGGGCCTTTTCACATTTTGTATTTCAACAACACAGTGTTCTTTCTTAACCATTTGCACCTATTCTGCTAAGAAGTATCAAGGGGAAGAAGAAAACTCAGATGTCCCTTGTCGGAAGCGTAAGGTCTTACATCTGGTTTCGCAGTGGATTGCTCTGTACAAAGACTGGCTACACGAAGATGAACATTCAAAAATGTTTCTAAAGGTATTCCAACACTTCTGGGTATTTTGATGCCAAGTGATTGGTTTTATTTTCAGCTATATGTCTCAAAAAAAAAAATCTCATTTTTAGTCATTCAATTTTTGTATGTCAAAGTCAGTGAAAGTATAAATTCATTATGACTTCCAAGACCTGTCAATCTATTTAAATAAGAATTTATTTTTTAAATTTTAAATATATTATGAAAAATAATATGTGAAAATTTTTGTATGCACTAATTTTGGATGATATATTTAAATAATGAGAATTTTTATTGCAAATTAAATAAATATGATAAACCATAATATACTTTAAAATTTAATGTTAGATTTATGATAATGTTAAAACTAACAACACCTATATAGGCAAACAATACTTAGATAAACATTTAAAAATCATCTTAATCATTTGTATATTATATCATGATATGAATTTTAAATACATGCTGTATTGGAGAATTATATTTGAGAATAGATATTTGACAATAAACTTTGAAATAGTAACAATCTGAAAGACACTAACCTAGATAAATCAACTTGTCTAAATATTAATAGTTTACAATGTGTATTTACCACGGACAGGTCTCTGGAGCAGAGAGTTTAACTTATTTGACCACTGTACTGGATGTGCAAATCAGTACAAAGAAATTACCACGAAGTCTGCTTTAGAACAGATAAATACCTAAACCAATCCTGCCTGTCAAAGAGGAAGTGGCATTGAACATAACATTCCACCTAGCCACCCCTCTGCCTTAACTCGGGTTATTTTTCAAACCCACTGGTTATTTTAATGAATATGTTTTCCTCCCAGGTGTTCTGTTTTGAGATCTGAACTACTCATGGAAATCTCTCGTAGCCAACTAAGAGATCTGTTTCCAGCATCCCCAGCAGGCATGCTTGAAAAGCAGCCTCAGGGCAGTGCCGGGTGGCTGAGTGGCTGACATGAAACCCCTGCCTAGTCCTGAATCCCACCTGCTTCCTGCAACGAGACAGCCATTACCTGAGCCTTTGGTGGTGGTGCTGGGATTGAACTCGGGCTCTGCACCTATTAAACGTGTACTACCACTGAGCTCTGGCTGGCCTTGTCTCCATCTTAGTCCTTACAGAACAGACCGTAAATCTAATGATGCGTTTCCTGTCTCCATCCTCTCCCCAGACCATATACAGGAATGTGCTGGATGATGTCTATGAATACCCAATTCTTGAGAAAGAATTGAAAGAATTTCAGAAGATACTTGGGATGCATCGCCGTCAGTAAGTATTTAGCTTTCCTCATAGCAGTTAGTGCATACAATAGCAAATGTAAAAGTTTAGGCTGTCATGTACATAAAGTGAATGTTTTTTAACATCTTAACCCCAGATTTATCTTGTTTACTTAACAACTTTCTAGTAGTAAATTGAGTGTTTTTATTTTTTATAAATAAAAATAAAAGAACACTAGTCATACTCATTGACTTTTTTTTAAGTTTTCTATGATAAAAGCAGACTGGGCCATGACAACCTGAGTACATAAAAACAGTAAATTGTTCCTTTATTTTAAGTCACATATTTAGCTTATTATTTAGAGGCTCAATGCAATCTCTGTGGAATAGGGAAGGAAAGATTTATAAATAGGTTCCAGTGAGTCACAGAGCATTTCATAGACTCAATGTTATGAGATCCCTGAGGTTTCCTTATCTATTTAGAAAGATTGGAGAAAGCCAATTTCTCAAGTGACTGTTGGCATGCCCAAGTGTCCCATAAGTAGCACTCATAATTTCAGATTGGCAGAACCTGGCTTTGCTGGGTTTTAACTGCTTCTCTATTAATTTTGGTAAATGAAAACACTGAGTCATTACTCAGTTCCAAGGTACAGTCTTTGCCAAATTTATCCAATTTGTAGTGCGGTTGCTTACTTTTAGTAGCATGAAGCAAGTACACCATCAAGTTGAAGATGCTTTTAAAACTTCAGCAACAGTGACTTCATGTCTCAAGAAATACAAGTTCAGGCCTTTGAGATAACTGGTTTAAGATTTAAAGCCTGAGTTACCTGTAGTAAAGAGGCCCCCATTACAATTAAAAGATGTATATAGGGTAATCTAAGTGGCAAACAGATCATACATAAACCTTTGTTTCAGTTGTTAGAATTGCACGTTTCAAAATTGAGTGCAGGGTAGACAATATTTTAGAAATGACTGCTACAAACTGTGGTGATCACAGTCTGTGTTATATGAATATATGAATAACAATATTGATGTGAAAGTATAATCAGTAAATGAAACAGAAAAGGAAAGAAAGATAAACGTTATGACAAAATAGTCTCTCCTTTGGATGTGGCTCTGTACTATAAGACAGAACTGTAACAGTTGGGAAACCTTGATGCCTGGTTTAATACACTTAAATATATTAATCGTATCACTGAAATCTAGTACATTCCATTAAAACTTTACATTATAATGGAACATAGTAAGTTGAAATGAGAAAACTGTATTAAGATATGGTTGGGCTGGAGGATTAGCAAACTCAAGCTATGGGTCGTCTCCCGCAACACAAGCGCACAGAGAAGGGGTGAGGGGCCTTGCTTCTTTGGAATAAGACTATGGAATGTCTTTACATTTTAGGATGAGGCTTGGGCCCCAGTGTTATACTCATTATACATCCTGAGAATTCAGTGGGTATCTGTAATTGATAGTTCGCCTGTGGTATTGGAAAACAGCCCAGTGCAGCTAGCTTTAAGAGTGGAGATGGCCTTCAGAGGCACATAGTGATATTCAGTGATCAGTGAGGCACCTGTCATACTGGAAAATGTCCTCAATTCTGCTTCATAGAACCATCCAGAGGTGATGCTAAGCTACTTAGCGATCTAGAAAGTGATTTCACCCCAAATCTATTACTATATGACAATGTGTTTCTTGTTAATACCTATTACCATTCAAATAGGGCTGGGAGAGAAAGAATGTGCATGCCATTTATTGATGTAGACTGTTTCTTCAGGCTGACAAGTCCAGTTTTCCTTCTCAATTTGTAGCTTTACTTTCTGCAGGCAGAAAGCACAATGCATGTGTCCAATAGGTCGCATTTTTTTTTCCTTAGTTCATTTGAAACTTGGAGTGAGATGTCAGATATGTTATACATAGTAGATTTATGACTAGTGTGTTTTATCTTTTTGTTTTGTTTTTGAGATAGGGTCTTACTCTGTGGCCCAGACTGGAACTTGCCATGTAGTCCAGGCAGACCACCATCTTGCCTCTGCTCAGCCTCCTGGGTGTAGGGATTATAGACATGTACCACTATACCAGCATTGTTTTGCCCTGTTTCATTTTTTTTATTTTAATGACATTTATTTATTTATTTGGGGGTGTGTGTATGGCATGGTGTTCTAGTTTGATTCTCTTGCTATAATAAAACACTAACAAAACAAATTTAGGAGGAGAGTCTTATTTGGCTTAAGATTGCAGTCCATCACCAAGGAAAATCAAGGCAGGATCTAAAGTAGAGACCTGGAGGGACGCTGCTGACTGGCTTGTTCCCCGTGGCTTGCTCAGTTTGCTTTCTTCAAGACTACTTGCCCCTGGCTGCCGTCACCCACAGTGAGCTGGGCCTGTCCACATCAAACATTAATAAAAACAAAAACAAAAATGCCCCACCAAAATGCCCACGGGCCAGGCTGGTGGAGGCAAATCCTCATTTGCAGTTCCCTGTTCCCAAGTGTCGTATTGACATGGAGGTCAGAAGACAGCTTTCAGAGTCAGAACTCTCATTTCACGGTGTAGATCTTGAGGATGGAACTCCAATCATCAGACTGGCATTTAGAACTTTTTCCTGTTTACCATCTCACTGGCTCTGTTTCGTCCTTTTTAAACAATGAAATTCTCTACAGTGTTCCTGAAAGTGAGTCTTTCTTCTGCACAAGTCTCACATCTTACCTTTTCCTTTGTAGCACCGTCGATGAATATTCACCACAAAGGAAGGTAGGTAAATGCTTTTATATCTGCAGTGGAGCGGGGAGGGGATCTGGCTTAGAGAGCTTGCCTTGCCTGACTTGGCATTTTCTTGTAATTAAAGTGACTACTGCCTCAGATCTAACAGGGTGGCATAGGGAAATCCAGGGATGCAGCTGGCCCACACCGTCCTGCCTTGCTGTGTTTCAGGCCTAATTGTATAGGACCCTTGACTTTTTGACAATGGGAATATTTTGTGATGCATTTTAAAGTCTCAGAACTTCCCTGCTATTGCAAAACTGATAAAATTTTGAATTTTAAACTACTCATATCCCTCTCTCTAAATCCAAGTAAGAGTCTTAATTGGAGGATTTTCCTTACTCCAAGAGTCTTTTGAGATATTTCCCACTTTCAATGTGACAGAAACAGTAGTGAGTGTGTTGTGTTTCCACTGAACTTGATGAGGGGTAATGCAGGAGAGGAGGTGGGTAACCGTAGTAACCAGAGGCAGGAGTGTGAAATGACCTCGCAAGGTTCTTCTGTGCAAACTGAAAAAGGCAGGAGCTGGGGTTGCTTTAACTGCGTCTCAGAGCTTGTGATGGGATGAAGAAAGTGTCTTCCTAAAGAATCGTGGGTGTTTCTGGAGTGTCCTCGGCACCAAATAGATCGAGGGGCTTGTTGCCTGCTGCTAGCCTTGGCCAACCTCCATGCGAAGGCTCAGAATCTCCCCATCCACATTTGTTAATTGAAGTAACTCCATCTTTATTTCTCTAAGATTGGATGGGTAGATTTTATATTAAAAAAAAAATTGGCTAGCTCTTTGGGAACATGTTGTAAACAGCTGTGACTTTCCAAAGGGCAAGGGGACATTCATTCATTGTTCTTTCTCCCTTTTCACAGAATAAAGCCCTTTTCCACCAATTCAGTCTTAAGGAGAACTGGCTTCAGCACAGAGGAACTGTGGCCGAAACAGAAGAAAGTGAGTATGTGTATACAAGAGGGCCACCATCCTCCTACAGGAACCCACTTGCCGGCAACTGTCATTTCTAGCCATTTTTCCTCTTGGACAAGAATGTTAATATCAAATAGCATGGCTTTCCTTTCTCGGTTTGAGTGTTAGTTTTGTTAGACTTTGCAGTGTTCTTTCAAAGACCAGGGATATTCTTAATTTGAGAAGCAAGAACAGGAATGTGTGCACAGAGCCCTCTTGCATTCTACAAAATATGCTGGAAATTCAGCTTTTGCCTCCCTGAACCTTCCTTCTGGCTCTGGCTACCCATTGCCCATGGTTTGTGATTGACAAGAAGGGCCACCAAAGCCAGTGTGCAGGGACTTAGCTGAGTCAGTCCCTGAGATTTAGAAGAGAAAACCTGAATAATGAGAGGATGGGTGTGGAGAAATTCATCTGAGGCTGGTCTGTCACGCACCCAGAATGTACTCAGTCAGTGATAGGACTCATGACATCCCTTGCGAGTGGAGGCGTTCACCAAGTACAAGGGGAAAGGCCTCGTTAGCAACCTGAAGGTGCTGGTGTGTTTTCTGTGAGAACATGTTATAGCAGAGCCTATGGGGTGGCAGAGGTTCCCTGTTTGGGCAGAGGTTGAGTCAATGGCAGACTGAGAGACAGGGAATTGAAATACCTGTGCTATTGTGAAGCTTTCCACTCACCTTTCTCCATATGCTAAAATTCAAAGTGTCAGTGTTTACTATTTGAAATAAAATGTCTTAATGACAGAAAAAAAAATCTGTCCTGTGGTGTTGTGTCTGATGCCTCCGGCAGAAAGGTTTCTGTTGTGTTGTGTTAACTGTCATCTGCCCCAAATGAAAGAGCAAATGCAGTTACCTTACCTCCTAATTCGTTAATCGCTGACCTTCCTTGTCCGTTTCTCTTATAATTTAATTGTGGAGTTTACTAAGCTGAGCTTCAAAGAGGCTCAGTATGGCAAGGCCCCTGGCCTCTTCTTGTTCTTCAGTTTATTAAACAAGGATAAACTCAACTTCCGTGTAGTGGTTTACAGCCTGGATCTTTACTCAAAATCTCCATTTTTCTATTGAGAGAGTCGAAGGAAGGACCGCCCCCTCTTCTCTTTCTCAAGTTTGCTGACAAAATATAGAACAATAATTGGTTGAAAGCTATTGATCTGGTGGCACACGTACCCAAAGCAAAGACTCAGGTGCCAGGTGTAGGGAGTGTGTGTGAGGCTCTGTGGCAGCAGCTCACACTCTGGCTTGCTGCCTTTGCATTTCTGGAAAACCATCCCTGAGTTTAATTTTGTGATACCATTTAAATAGCATATAAAATTTCCCTAAAAGCTGTAGCCCCTGCTTATTTTTGAGAAACTATAGAGCAGAATATCTGAGCATATCATTGCCTGTTTAGTCTAAAGAAGCTAGCATTTGCATGCTAAAGGAAGCTGTTGTAAGAAGTAATGTGTCAGTGACTTATCACTTCTAAAACTATCTACTATGCAAATCATGAAGAAACTTTTTTCCAGCATCCATGCATCCTGACAGTGATAATACCCTACTACTCATTAATAACACTGCAAGCAGTAAAAGGAAGTTTTCAAAGGCTAGAAAGATGATGTCCATTTAAAAACTCATTGGCACCAGGATATGGGTCAGGGCTGGAGGCTCATTCTTAAATGACTGAGGAAGCTGCACACAAAACCCAAGGCAAATGACAGACTTTCAGATAGACTTCTGAGAATTCTACTAGCCAGTGTGCAGTTCTTGATTGGGCCACTGAGACTGTCCTGAAATGGAGTGTAAAATAAAAATTTATTCATTAGACATTTTATTTATTTGTTTGTTTGTTTATTTATTTATTTATTTTGGTTTTTCGAGACAGGGTTTCTCTGTGTAGCTTTGCGCCTCTCCTGGAACTCACTTGGTAGCCCAATCTGGCCTCAAACTCACAGAGATCTGCCTGGCTCTGCCTCCCGAGTGCTGGGATTAAAGGCGTGTGCCACCACCGCCCGGCTTCATTAGACATTTTAATATGCTGCTTTAGGAGATCTTAACAACTCTCAAGGAAGGGGTTCAAAAGTATGGTCTGTCGAGCATGGTTTCCAGCATGTTCTGGCCAGACAGTCTGTCACCAGCCCATGCTAATGTGACCCAGGGATCCCTTGCAGGACAGGAAGCCAGTCAACTGCTCCTGCCTGGTCACTGCAAGCGTATGCTGACAGACTAGACCCTCACATACTCATGACAGACTAGACCCTCACATACTCATGTAGTCCTAAATGCATGTGGCTGCACACACTTTTCACATCAGACAACAGCAAGATGGGCACCTTGACTAGAAAAGTCTGTGACCTCATGGTCACAATTCTCTGGTTACAAATTCTGCTTTTAACTCCCGCAGTTTTTTGCCATGTGTATATAACGGAGCACTCCTATGTCAGTGTGAAGGCGAAAGTTTCCAGTACAGCCCAGGAAATCCTGAAGGTGGTGGCTGAGAAGCTGCAGCGTGCTGAAGAGGATCTGGCTCTGGTGGCCATCATGTTCTCTGGAGGTAAGTTATTTTCTGTCCTGCGATATTAATCTTTCAGTGGATCTCCACCAGGAGGAAGCTGACATTCTGTGGAGTAGGCATGCTGCCTCTCCTTTCTCAGCCTGCAGCTGGATGACCACAGTAGCAATATGCAGCGCCCACCACAGGTGTTTCCATGACAACAGTGGGGTAGTACTGGGTACTGAATTTCCTTCCTTGCATCGAGGAGGGAGACAGTGCCAGTGTTTTGAAATGTATTAAAGAGCTTTTTGCATTTTTAATCATTAGATAAGCTTTGTATTTTCATATTTAAATTAACTTCAGAAATTGTTAAAGGATTTACTTACTGTACAGGGAGGGGGTGGCCTTGAACTAGTCTTCTTGCTGGCTGAGAATTTAACATTTAGACTCCGTTGGAAGACAGGAAACTGTACAGTGAGCCACAGCTCACAGCAGCACTCTCCCAGGTACGCATGGTGAGCTGGGCCTTGTCACAGCTTCTGCTGCTGGGCCTTGTTTGTCCTCCGAGGAAGCTTTATTGTCTGTCTTGAATAAGACCATGCAGATTACGAGCTGACATTGTCAATGTGTGCAGCCTGGACAAACCCCCTTGTTTCACTGGAGCCTGTCCAATCATAATGTCACTGGCCTCCTTCTGGGCTTACAATCTTCATTTACTATCTCATTAACCCTGAGGAAAATTCGAAGAAGATGACCCAGCGAGCGTCAGCAGTTGAAAGTGGAAGTACCACATTAGCTGATCAACCCGCAGGTGTGGGGGGTGGGGAGCAGATACAAGGCATTCCTGTGTACCCTCAGTAACTGCTCTACAGGGAGAGAGGGGCTCAGAATATACGTGAGGTTAGAGCATTATGTAGCAGAGCATTGCTGCTGCTACCTTCTTACTCACAGACTGGTCAGATAGTCTGACAAGTCAATCCATTACACATGCAAAAAAAAAAAAAAAGAAAAAAAAGAAAAAAGAAACAAAGCTATTCCCTATAAGCCTAATAGAGTCCTTCCTTTCCTCTCATTGTACAGCCTAACAAAATACCATCCAGGGTTGAGGGTGGAGCCCATTGGTAGAACAAAGGTCTTACATGTATGAGGTTGAGTCCCCAGAAAAACCTCTAACCCCATATTGTCTATGAGAAATAAAAGCAAAAATTTGCAAAGTATGTGAACCCCATGAACTTTAATGAGGAAATGGTTTTGGGGGTGGGGGCGGTTGTTTGTTAAGAAATAGAGATGGGAGCTGGAGAAATGGCTCAGTAAGAGCATCTACTGCTCTTGCAGAGGCCCCAAGTTCAGTTTCTAGCTTACAACCATCTAAACCACCAAGTCTAGGGATTATGACACCTTCTCTGGCCTCCTTGGGTATTGCATGTACCTGGTACACTAACGTGCATGCAAATAAACATTCAAAAACATAAAATAAGTAAAAATAAGTGAAATCTTAAAATGGAGAAATGAAATAGAGACAGTTTATTAAGAAAGGAAAATCACTCTCAATGATGGGAATGGCCAGTGATCTGGAGGAACACAAGTCCTCAAAAGCTTTGAATTAATAATGTACTTCAGGTAGATATATTAAATGTATCATATATTTTAAAAGATCAAAATATTAAACGATTATAAGCAATATTAAATTTCATCAAACTGTAATTTGCCTCTCAAGATAGTACTACTGCAGAGAACAATCACTGGGCCCCAGTTTAGAGAGAAGGTACAAGAAAAGATAGGCAGTCAAGTGAACTCCACAACACAGTTAAGGCCCATGTTCTCTTAGGAGTAGACTCAAGCCAGCCCAGAACCATGAGAGAATCTGAAAACTAAAAAGGTGTCTTTTTTTACCACTGCGTATCTACTAGTGCCTGGGAACTGCCACTTTCATACTCTGTTACTTTCTTCAGGGAGAGCAGTGACGTTCTGTTGTGTGCAGGTCCTTTGTCATCACTAGAAATGACAGCTTATCTCGGATTGTCCATGTGTTTGGCAATGTGCCGTCATGTTCCATTCACTGAGTGGGTTTTGTTGGTTGGCTGGTTGGTTGGTCGGTTGGTTAGTCAGTTTTCTAGACTGGTCAGCAGTGTGGTGGTCTATAAAGAACTTCCTTGCCTGCATCTTACTGTCCTTCGAACAATAACGTTTGAATTGGGGTGAGGGGGGCAGGGCTTAATACAGGCATTGCTCTAGTTACAGATCATCTCACAAATAATGTCTTACAAATAATGCCAAACCACCATGACCTGGGTTTTGTTTTATTTTCTTTTTGAGAAAAGTTTAAGGAATTTGTTGACGTTTCATGTTTTTGTTTTTGTTTTTCTGAAAAAGGCACCAACTGTTCTCGAAGCTTCAACAGATTTCTAGATATTTTGTGCCCAAGGTGGTATCCTAGCAGCCTACCCATTTTTATTGAGAGGCTAAAATTTAGTCTTAATCTTTGATACTTTAGCCAACTTGAAAGGACTTCAGGGCCCAGCTGAGTGGGACCACTTACCACTGTGTTAACAGCCCATCACTATAGTACTATTGATCACTATAATGCTGACCCATTGGAAATAGATTAGATGCTCATTTATGTGCTCTGTATTAACCAGAAATGTTCAAAACAAAATTTGGCATTTAAGCTGGTTAAGTTATCTAGAAGAAAGTGTGTTGTCTCCCATGCACATCAGGAACTAAAGTGCCACCCCGGGGGAAGTGGATTGTGTGGCTACAGAATAAATTCTACTGTCACTTTATCCTTGTGTGCACTTTTAGTGTGGAGGAGGACATTCATCTCTGAAAAGAGGGGTCAACCTGCAGGAAAACCTAGACACAAACATTTTGCAATAAGGAGATAAAATAGCCAATTCAAGAGCATCCAGCTTCACAAGTAGCCAGAAAGTAGCCGAAAATCAGCCTTTTGACTTGTATATAAAGCAGACCATCCAAAAACTATAACAGGTGTTGTTCGGTGGACAAATTTTACATCTAATTTTAGGGAGATATATTGATTTATTTCTAAAAGAGAATTGGTAAGCAATTCAGCAGTTGGCATCAAAGGCTGTACAAACATTCCTTTTCACCCGGTAATTTCATACTGGGAAGTCTCTTTAAAAAGTCATATGTAAGCAGGAGGGATTTATGTGCAAGGATGTTGACTTCAGCAATACATGTATGGCTGCTGTAATAACAGAACTGTTTATCAAGATACTGCGATGTGCCAGGCCTGTGCTAGAACTTAACATATATTAATTTATATGACCAAAAAAAAAAGGAAAGCATTAAGTGTTCAGCAGTAGAGGAATGACTAAATGATGGTATAATGGGCTGCTATATAACCAATTAAACATGACATATAAACAATAAGCAGGGAAGTGCTTATAGTGAAATCAAGCTATAAAACCATATGTAGGACTAATCACTAGTGTGAGTGTGTGAACAAGTGTGCACGCACTATAATAACTGCTGATATATGGACTCCCACGGTTATTTTGGAGAGAGGGGATTATGAGTGAATTTTGCTATCTACCTTAAACTATCCTGTTTAGCTCCAGAGGACTGAACTCTGAGTGCTAGGTGGTGATGTTCCTACCACCTCTGGCATTGTGTTAAAATGTGCAAAAATGAACTCACTCAAAGTCCATTTACTTTTTTAAAATATTTTTCTTGGGCAGGTTTCACAGGCTTACTTGTATTTCTAATTACTCTTTTTTTTCTTTTTTTTTTTTTAATAAAGAAAAACATGAAATTCAGCCAAATGACTTGGCCATTTCCAAATCCCTGGAGGCATCAGGTCGGATATTTGTCTACCGGAAAGATCTGGCAGATACTTTGGTAAGGACTTTAATGCTTGCACTTGAAACTCAAGTGTCAGACTCAATAATATTTTCATGCTTTATTATGAAAAACATATATTAAACTATTTCCTCTTCCAACCATGGGTAGGCTGCCAAGAGACATGTCTTTTGCAAACCAGAGGCCTGGCTGAACAAATTCTTCGCCTTCCCTAAGACCAGTCTTGATTTTTTTATGTTATAAAGGATTCAAAATAGTGACTCTCTGTCCCATGGAATCTTGGGACAGTCTCTTCTTTCTTTGGGGGGAGCTATAATGGCACAGGGCTGAGAAATATTCCCAGGTGGATATAGAGGGGCAGAGCCTGTCCTCTTGAATGTTCCGTTTCCTTAAAGAAAGGTGGATTTTCACCCTTCCCTATATGAGATGAGTTGGTAACAATACCAGATGCCCTGAAGAGTAAGATTTTGAAAAAAAATGTAAATAATCTTGCCCTTCAGGTTATTCTTGGTGTAAATTTTAAGACCAGTTATGACTAAGGGGACAGCATAGGTATCTCCCAGCACTTTTTAGTAGACAATGAGTTTGATTTTATTCTTGCCTAAGAAAGAATATAGTCTAAAATGCAGATATTGTAGGTTCTTTATAAGCAGAACCCACACTCTGGCTGTCCACCATGCCCTTCTCTCTCAGCCACATAGCCACCTGGTATAATTCCCCCAGGACTTGCTTATACAGGGCCTCTCAGAGAGTCTAAGGTAGTCGTGGGTGGTGTCCTAGTGGAATAAATAGGTGCCATGAGCTATGTTCTAAAAGGACAGAGACTCCATCCTGCCATCCAGTGTTTTCTACACCGGCTTTGGACACCACTGCACATGTCCTTGTGGGAAGCAGGGAAGACTAACACATGAGTCTGCTCACTGTACCCACTAACACTGTCACATAGATTAACACATCTTCCTCAGAATCAAGCCTTACAGCCTGGAGGAGTGGAATAGAGAAATATAAAATGTTGCCTGGCCAGGGCAGTGGACAGCCTTGAATAACCAGATGGTAACCAAACTGTGCTTAGGGGCCAATTTGGGGAAAAATAAAAGGGACAAAAGCCCAAGTTAACCTGCGATTCAGCCATTAGTCCCCACCGTGCAGTTTTCTCTCTGAGTCTGTTTCAGTGTCTCGTCCCATCCGAGCAGACAATCCCCTGAGAAATCCTGGCTTCCCCACCTCAGCAGCAGAGTCTGTCGGGGTCTTCTGACACAACCTGGATCCTACACCCTCTGTGGGGTGGGGAGGCAGCTTGTGCTTGGCCACCCTCAAGACTGTCAACCCCGTGGGGGAGGGGGTCTGTGAAGGTCTTCTGTGGTTAGATTTGTTTGGTTTTTAGCAGGAAATCTTTTCACAAACATTATAAGTTCTAAAGTGGCATGTTCCCCATGTCATTTATTTTTGTCATACTGGGAAGTGACCCCAGGGACCTCATGGACGGTAGGCAAGTGTAAGCATAGCCAATGCCCATTCTTCATTTTATTTAAATCGTTAGCTCTTTGACTCCAACCCCTTAAATGAGAAAATGTGTATTTTAATTAAAAAATCAGTTATTTTAAGGAAAATACTGAATTGTTTATTTAATAGCTTCGAAAGTGATGATAGTTTTAAGGCTGTGTTAGCAATTTAAGAGTCTCATTCCAGATTTTAAAAGAAGTGCTGTTATCAGCCTCAGAGTGATTAGCCACCATCTCCATGAGGGGGGGAAAGAAAAAACATTTGTTACATAGAATATATTAGCTAGCCACATGGGCTCTAAATAAAATAGCTTTTATTTTTATTTCATGTTAAATTTTTCACTTTCCAAGGGCATTGTAATAGAAATTTGTAAGCATGTGTCTGAGATGAGGCTGGTAAAGCATGTTTCCTGTAAAAGCCATGTCTGTCTTTATTGAAGTGCTCTATGACATTTCTTTTGTTTGTTTTTATACTAACCCTGCTGGCACATTAATTCATACCAGAAGCCAAAGTGATTCCAGGGCTTTCGCTTTCATTATGCTGTCTGTCAGGGCTGTGTTTTATAATCAGATTTGTGGGTGTGTGGATGTGTGTGAGCTTGTGGGGGAGGGGGAGGGGCAGGCTAACTGGGTGATGTATCATTGATCATGGTCTACTGTTCCAGGGCTGTTTCCTACATTGACTGTAACTCACTGACGGTGACCAGAGCAGGGAAAATATTAAGCACACTCAGAAAGGATTACTTTTCTAATCTAGGTTTCTAGAGCCTTCCTATGGGCAGCCAATTAACTGTGAAACATTGGGGGACTACTGAAGATCCTTTTGCTTCTATCTGTCTATTTAGAATCCTTTTGCTTCTGTCTGTCCATTTAGAATCCTTTTGCAGAAAATGAGGAATCACAGCAAAGGTCAATGAGGATTTTGGGAATGAACACTTGGGACCTTGCTCTGGAATTAATGAGCTTTGATTGGAGCCTGTTCAACTCAATCCATGAGGTAAGCAGGAGGTTAAAGGGTGAAGTTGATAATGTTGCTTTAACTTTTAACTGAATGGTTTTGTTGTTGTTGTTGTTGTTGTTTGTTTTGAGACATTTGTGTGGTGATATAGTTATGCTAGGATAGGGTGGTCTAAAAGCTCTCTGGAGGAGTTATTGAAAATCTACCTTGTTCTAGGGAAGTCAGAATATGTATCATGCTTTCTTTGTTTCTTGTTCAGTCATGTGCTTGGTGTGAGGTAAGTGTGGACATGCTGGGTTTATATGCACAGACACCTGTAGGGAAGTGTACAATCTATGGGGATGTGGTTGTATAGATTTATACTGATATATGATGCTGTAATGAGATTGAAGAGTAATTTTACCTGAGTGTTAAGATTTCACATATACATCCATCCTTTTACTTAAGAATATTTCATAAATTTGCCAGGCAGTGGTGGTGTACACCTTTAATCCCAGCACTTGGGAGGCAGAGGTAGACAGATCTCTGTGAGTTCAAGGCCAGCCTGGTCTACAGAGCTAGTCTTAGGACTGCTAAGGCTACCAAAGAAATCTTGTCTTGAAAACCAAAAAAAAAAATCATATTTCATAAATTTTAGAATGTGCTATGAAACTTCAAATACTGTCTTATAAATTTTACATTATTGTGTGTGTGGACACCTCCCCTGGGGACAGATTATAATGTTTATAAATTACATGCTAGGAGCAAAGTGCTACTGACATCTTGGTGGTAGCAGGTCTCACAGGAATCAGAGAAAAAACGCCACAGGTCTGTACCCATGTGGTGCGTTCATCGTGCACGGCCTTTCCTTTTGTAGGGAAACTCATGGCTGATTTTTTTGAAGCCATAAAGCCTTTCATTCTACAATATCTGTTAAATTTGTTCGTATTTTCTCATTGAAACATTTTAGCATTATAATCCAGTTTGCGCATGGTATGAACTCGCTCAGGCTGGATGACTTGTGTCTTCAGAAGTGCCGGTTAAGTGGGATCCGCCTCTGCTTGTGCGGGACTCCTGAAGACACATGCACTCAGTTAAAAGCAGACCTCTCCATTTCTTTGTCTGGGTTACACTAAACATTTACTGGTCTTGGCTCGCATTGGTGAACTTTTGCACTCTGCCCTTATTTCCACTTTATTTCTGCTTATGATCTTATAATGTCTTTAAAACACTGATTCTCAGAGAGCATCTGCTAAGGCCAGAATCGACAGCACCACCGGGGGACTTGTTAGCATTACAGACTTCCCGAATCCACGCACAGGCGTGGTGGTGCCCACCCATAGTCCTCTTTACTTGGAAGGCTAAGGCCAGAGGATCAGCAGTCCACAGGTTCAACAATGTGGTGAGACCTAGTATCTAAGAATGTTTTAGCCCCTTGTAGAGTACTAATCAGAAATGGGGGAAGAGGTCTAGTAATCTGACCCTTACCAGTGCTCAGGATGCTTCAGAGGACCATCCTAATAATCCGTAATCTGTTGGCTCTAATGTGTGCTAGCAAATACTAGTACTATATTTAGTGGCTCCTTTTAAAAGTCCTGTGATTGAAACTTTAGAATGTTCCAGACTTTGTACCAGGATGTCTTCCTCACATTCTGAAAAAAAGAAAAAAATTGTGTGTGTCAGGATTCTAGGTAAACATTAGTGAACAAAGTATAGCTGAAAACTAAGGGTAACCTAGCTTGAATATACTACGTAGTTATCTGCTGTATTTTCTGTCAACGCATGAAGGATATGGGTGTGGCCTCTCGGAACTGCTCATAAACTGATAGAATTTTGCATCAGCTTGACTTGAGCTAAAAATAGACGTGTTTCTTTCAGCAAGAGCTGATCTACTTCACGTTCAGCAGACAGGGAAGTGGGGAGCACACGGTCAACCTCAGCCTTCTGCTCCAGAGATGCAACGAGGTCCAGCTGTGGGTGGCCACGGAGATTCTGCTCTGCAGCCAGCTGGGCAAGCGCGTGCAGCTAGTGAAGAAGTTCATCAAGATCGCTGCGCAGTAGGTGTCTAGCGGTGGAAGTAGTGTTGTTTCTCTTGTTTCCTGGAGAAGGTATTGGTGGTGGTTTGGGGTTTTTGTTTTGTTTAGTTTTATTCTTTATAATGATAAAAAAGGGTTGGGGTATAAAAATGTAATAGAGTTAAGTGGCCAGATGATTGCAAAGGTCTGTTTTTGAATATTTATGTCTTTGCATTCGAAGTTTTCATATCTTAAAGTAAATGTCAAAATATCAGACTCAAGCTCTGAGCTGTCTGCTTAGTTATAACCAAGCAGTGAGCCCTTGCACAACGTGGCTGGTGGTACTGCCAGTGGGCGAGGAAAATGAAAGATGGCATGTGTGTGGTGGGGTATCATGGACAATCAGGGGCATGCTAGGATCTCTGTGAGTTCAAGGCCAGCCTGGTGTGCATAGTGAGACCATATCTCAAAAAATATATAAAAATAAATCAGATAAGACACTTATCAATTAAAAAGAAAAAGTACCTGGTGCCAACCTCTGGCCTCCACACAACAGAGAACAAAAGAGAACACACACACACACACACAGAGACACACAGACACACACACACACACACACACACACTCAATGAACATGTACATATATACATTATAAATAAATTTAGAATATTTTTTGCACATATGTCAGTTTGGGAGACATTGAGGGTAGAGTAATTGCTGTTTGTCCCTCTGTTGTTTGAGACATTTAGGATGTGGGTACAGACTCTGAAATCCCCCACTGGTCAAAGAAATCCATTCCCCTGTAAGGTGAGACATGAAGATTCATCTTTACATAGGTGGAAGTTATTTTCTGATTTGGCCTACAGCCAGAGACAGAAGCAGCAGACTTTGGCAGTCTTATTTGCCATGCATCCTTGTCCTGTAAGGAGGCTAGCATGCAGCTTTAGTAGAGCGGTGCTTCATCCATGAGCCTGGGGGTTCCTGCCATGCAAGTGTATTGTATGTTTAACCCATTTCACTTAATAATTCAATCTTTTATAAGTAATTTTTAAAATACACCTGTTTTTGAATATTATTTTTCATTAGACAAACTAAGTTTACTTCAAATTTGTTTTGACTCATTTCAGGCTTAACTTTGACAACATACACAGAAGGCTATATAATGAGGGCTATAAATTGGTCTCTCCCTCCAAGCTTGTATCTGTAAATACATTACCTTTATATTTAGCATGACTGACCATTAACTTGTGTATCTTAATTATATTTAACAGTTTACAATGTTACTAACTCTTATAAGATTGGGATTTTTTGTGAACCTTAAAAATATATAATTCTTGAATTAAAGACCCTTTAGTGTCAATCTTTAAACTATAAATACAGTCCACAGAGAAAATGAGAACTTCATTTTCCTGATCCTTTTATAACGTTCTTTTACACAATGCCTTTTTTTGTCTTTTGGTTATTTTTATGGCTTGGTTTCAGAACAAACCATCTTGGAAGCCTGGTGTTGCCTCCTTGGTCTAATAAAAGGGAGCTGGGATGATTGGCTGGGGGATCCGTGGGCCTGGTTGTTTCACGGGTGTTGCTTTAGTGTACATAGACAACATGGTCGCCTTCACCACCATGGCAGTGAAATCGCATGATCTGCTCTTCCTTTAGTCTTATTGAAGATGGTGGCTGAGTCACGTGGCTGCCAAGATGGTGGCAAGCCACGTGGTTGTTATTCGCTCCAAGGCAAGCCCATCAGGTGCACACCCTTTTCCTAAATAAGAGTTGATTCCAAGTTACATACGTGGTATGCTATAGCAAATTAATTTTATCTATACATAGACTTTTTAAATCACACTCAATGAACTTATAAATTCTAAAACACAGAAAGTTGAAGTTTCAACAAAATCAGAAAAAAGGGGGGCAGGGGATAATTCAGAGTTAAACATTTTGCCATTTGTAACCGCTGTAGAAATAGTTTCTTTGTTCTCAAGCAGAGTGTCTTTTCCTGGCTGTTCTCGCCCCCCCCCCCACTTTTTTTTTCCCGAGACAGGGTCCCTCTGTGTAGCCCTGGCTGTCCTGGAACTCACTCTGTAGACCAGGCTGGCCTCAAATTCAGAAATCCTCCTGCCTCTGCCCACCACAGCCCAGCTTGTTCTCCCTGTCAGAAAGTCACGTGGCCTGCCCAACCCAGAACAGAGACGTTGGAGGAAACTTTTAAACAGATGTGCTTGGGTCTCAGTACAGTAGAACAACAGAAACAATCTTTCCATACCCAAAAGACGTTTGAATGTCTGTAAGTCTGAACCTAGTGATCTACATATCCATAACCAGTTTGTATGTGTCTGCACATGAGAGCGGAGAACGCGAAGTGCTTTTACCTCTTAGCTACTAAAGATAAAAGCAGGATTTTCTAGGTTTGGGAAGGCATAAACACAAGTAAGACAAGTGTAAGGCAAAAACGCTCTGTGCTGCCTCTGTTAGGAACAGATACAGGTCTGGAGGCCCAGCAGAGATGGCGGCCAGCAGGCATTCTGGCTCCGGTATGGCTGTAAGTCAGGGCCTTGAGAAAGATTAAAGTGAACTGTGAATTTTATGGGAGAGGGGGCCTCGGTCCACGCTGCCATTCCTTTTGTCTACAGAATTAGGTATTGGAAATAGAAAGCTCCAAATCTGGACCAGCAGTAGCTACTTGTTCAATGTATATTGAGGCCAGATTTTCATTGAAAGGCAGAGGAGAGTCACCAGGTTCCTAAGTTGGAGCTTCTTAAGTTAGCCCTCAGGCAGGCCAAAGGAGTGTCTTTTGGTACAGAAAATATGGAACGCATGACTAGGCCAAGAACCAGGGTACAGACAGGGGCCAATGTCCAGTGGAGTAGAGCATCCTCTATGTCTGGAAATGACCAAATGCCCCTGGAACATAAGGGATGTCCCCCAACATATACAATCCCAGGGTTAAGGAGCCATGGGACCAATGGAAAGTTGTCAGAACAAGTGGTCTCCCCACCAGGAGAAAACTCCTGTGCCTTCCACCGAGTAGGCCTTAAGAAAGTTTCAGTCAGCTGAGCTCCAGTGGTCCCCAAAACCTAACTAGGGCACCTCAGAGTTAGGTCCATGGTTAGCTAGTCCCAGTGTTTTCCTGGTTACATGTATGTTCTGAGGGAAATGAAGCATGGCCACTCACCTAGGTCAGACTGTGTCGGGGGGGGGGAGACAGTAAGGTGAGAGAGGAAGAGCGGAGACACATGAAAAGAAAAGGCTGCCTGAGAGACTGGTGGCCCTGCTGAAGGGAGGGAGGGAGGGAGGGAGGGAGGGAGGGAGGGGGGGAGGAAGGGAGGGAGGGAGGAAAAAAGAAAGAAAAAGAAAGACAGGGGGAGGGGAAGGGAGGAAGGAAGGAAAAGAGGGGGGAAGGAGGGAGGGGGAGAAGGAAGGCAGGCTCGCTCCATCTGACCTTAGGGGGACCATGTTTATTCATGGTGAGGGGGCATCTTGTCACCCATGTATGTGGATGGCCAAAGTGCCTACAGGGGAAGATGGGATGCAGTGCTTTACGGGGATGGAAATGGGCAGGATTGACTTCTGTAATCCTCAAGGGAGGCTGGGAAGTTTAGTCCTTCCACAGGAAACTGTCATTAATACTGAGTTGTTTAGGGCATCAGGACAAGGAAAATAGCCTCTACAGTTCAGTGTAGATGCAGCCATGCGGGATTAACTACGTGGTACCTGAGCTGGCTAAACCTACAGCTCTGGAACCCATGGGGGTGCGGGGGCAAATGTACATGTCAGCCCGGCTTGTTCAGAAAATGCAGAGTGATCGCTTACTGTGTGGGTGGATCTGGGTAAGACCTTGTGGGAAATCACGCCTCAGGCTGCAGGGTGCTTCTACAGCTCCATGTGCGGCTCTGTAGAACAGAACAAGGAAGGGCCTGGTATGGATCTGAGTCTGTCCTGGCCTGGAAGAAGGGGAGGCTGAATCTCAGGAGTGTGGGAATGGAGAGAGGAAGCACCAGTGAAAGGAAGAGCGTTTGCTGCTCTCTTAGCGTCCTGGGTAAGAGGAATACCCTTCCCATGGAGGGTACCCTGGAGATGGGCTTCAGCAGGACAGGCAGCCTCTGTGGATGTGATGAGCACCGTGTGGAGTTGAGAAGGAAGTTGTAGGAGACTGGCTGGCAAAGGCAGGTATGACTGAGAAGGCAGAAGGGACCCTTGGAAAGTCTGTGGCCAGGAGACTGATAGGCTCCGAGTAGCTTTAGGAAAGCTCCCCTGGAACTGGCCAAGAGACTGAGGAAGCTCCTGTGCGAGGTCTACTGTGATTAGGTGGAGGAGCAGGTTAACGGGTCTATACCCTGGGCTGACACTTTCGTGCTGAGTGGGGGTTTTTTTTTAGTAGTTTTTTGTTGTTTGTTTGCTTGTCTGTTAACTCAGCCAGTATGTTCTAAAATGGGCTCTGAGATTCCTGAAGGTGGATTTTATGGTTAAAAGGTTTCTTAGAACATGAGTTAGAGGGAGAAATAGTACACCCATATTCTGAGAGTAAAGTGGCACCACCCAGCTCCTTCCCCAGTATAAGATTGGATCTAACCTGGGGAAATGAAATATATTCATGTCTTCTCCTTATAGTTCCCTGCTCCTGAATTATTTATGATACTGGTCTCTGTCCTAGCCCATGGAACAGAATACCAACTGAAACATAAAGTTAAATTCCCTATAATCACACTGTAGGAAGAACCAAGGGAAAACAGCAATTTCCACAGTCATGAAGTGTTTTCCCTGCCTAAGGCATCCGATTTGCATATTCATGTTTCCCTCCTTCTCACCACCCCCATCCCCCACCTCTGTGGATTGAGTGGATTTTCTTTCCTCACACAGACAAAGGAATGGTTGCTGGACTGGAATGCTTAGTGTCAGGCAGCCTGCTCTTATCTCAGAATGAATGGCCCATGGTAACAGGATTCCAGGCCCGATTGGCATCTAATTTCTGCTCAGAATCAATTTGTCTCATTCGGAAATTGTGTCTATATTAATTTGATTTCTTTTTCTAAAAAACAAATTCAGATGTGTGTGTGTGTGTGTGTGTGTGTGTGTGTGTGTGTGTGTGTGAATTTTGTGAATAAAATGAAGCTATGTGGACCAGAAGAAATGGTATGTGAGTGAGAAGGTAACAGATAAAAGATAGAAAACATCTAAAAACGTTTATAGATAAATGATGTTGAGTGAAAAGGCTTCATCATGAAAAATAATAACCATTTATCTAAAAGTTCTTGTTTTCAGTTCCAGCACTTGCTCTGTGCATGGCTTGCTGTGCATTAAGCCATTGGATATACACAGTAAAACAAATGGGTAGATATGTGCTCCAGCCTTAATGAGCTTCCTCTCTGATGGTGGCAGTAGCCTGTAGGGGCCCCCTTGTGTGGGAGGACTCGAGTGGGAGGAATCTTCTGGCAGTGGATTGGGGCGTTCTCACTGACAGGAGCTCCAGCAGAGGAGCTGGTGTTTCAAAATATTACATCAGGAGATGGAGCTAACTCAAGCTTTTCTGGCTGTTGTGAACTGTCTGTAGTGTAGGATAAGGGAAGTGAGCGGCAGAAGAGAGGTGGAGTCCGTACTAAGCCTTGGACAGCAGAGAATCTCAAAATAGTCATGGGCAGGAGGCCCCTTCCTTCAGTGCGTCCGTGGAATATGCCACTCAAGGCCCGTTGGGGTTGTGGAAGTTGACAAGAGACCAGAGGAAGAATCAGTAAGACTGGGCCCCAAGGGCCTCATACCTAAGTATAGGAACTGAGGGCTGTACCAGAACTGGACAGACGTGGGGACCAGCCATAGCAGAGGAGGCTTGGTAGTGATGTGCCTGCTGGACATATGTCTCCACATGCCTTGTGCTTTATGTGTGGGGACAGCAGTGTCTCTCCAGCTCCTCTCTTCACAGGGAGAGAACTCTCTCCCCAATTTGGAGTCCAGGTACAGTTGGACTGGAGCTGTGTCTGGTTCACAAGACTGACAGGACCTGCCAGAACACACAGCCCATTCTTATTCACTCTAAAATGAGTGAATGAGCCACTAAAATGTCACAGCTTTGGAAGGCAGCATAGATCGGAACCTGGAGCTGGCAGACGTGGTGGCTCAGCTTCCCAGCACTGTGAAGCTGAGGCCAGTCTGAGCTGTATAGTAAGTTCCGGTGCAGCCTGGGCTGCATAATGAGGCTCTGTCTCAAAGCAAACAAAACCAAACAAATAAACAAGAAGTAAAAACACTTTTCACATTTATAGCTTTTGTACCATCCTGTCATAGCTGGAAGCCCAATGAAAAATATCACAATTAAGTGAAAAGTTTCATAACAAAGATTCCCATTGTAGTATTCTGTGTAACAGGGAAGAATTGAAACTAACAAAGTCTACACTAGGAAAACTAAGTTAAAAAATTATGAAACGGGGCTGGAGAGATGTCTCAGTGGTTAAGAGCACTGACTGCTCTTCCAGAGGTCCTGAGTTCAATTCCCAGCAACCACATGGTGGCTCACATCCACCTGCAATTAGATCTGGTGCCCTCTTCTGGCCTGCAAAGACACATGCAGGCAGAACACTGTATACATAATAAATAAAATAAATCTTTTAAAAAAAAATTATGAAACGTTCTCTTTTTTAAGAGGCAGCCTGTATTTCTAGGGTGGCCTTGAACTCTCATTGTAGTAGAAGGTAATCTTCTTGGACTTCTGAATCCACTGTTCACACCCCCACCCCACCCCGTGCAGGGATTACAAAAGTGCTCCATTTTATTTTCTTGCTTTTATAAATGAAAAATGTGGAGCACTATCCCATAATTTATGCCATATACTCAGATAAATAGATGATAGATGATTGACAGATAGATAGACAGACAGACGGACAGACAGATAGTGTGGTGTCCATTTTGTTGTTAGGAAAGAATGTTGTCTGGATGAATGAAAGCACTTAGACCTGTGAGGTGAGAGGGACGCATCAGCCAGATACACAAAAAGCACAGAGACTCGAAGCTGAGGAGAGCTGCAGAAACAGTCCATAGTGGATGCAGAGACGTGGGCATTTCAAAATACGATTACAGAAGTCATAAATGTACACAAATGAGTGTTAGAGGGGGAGGGGTCTTCTGCAGTGTCGGGAAGGATTTTCTTGGGGGCAGACAGTGATGGGTATGTGGCTGGAGCTGTGTCCCAGGAGTCTCGGAGCTTCGTCAGCGACTGCCCACTGCTTGAAGGAATGTTCTCTCAGTCCCCACTCCTTTATTCACAGCTGCAGAGCTCAGCAGAACCTGAACTCTTTCTTTGCTATCGTGATGGGTCTCAACACTGCCTCTGTCAGCCGGCTATCCCAGACCTGGGAGGTGAGCCTGGGGCTTTCCACTGGGAGTTGGGGTGTGGGTGGGAGACAAAATGAAGCACTCCAGGGGGAACTTGTACTAGAAATAAGTAGATTTAAGTGGTTTAAATGAGACAAATTCTGCTTGACTAAAAGTGTTTTTAGTAGGGCCGTGACAGAGTGATAGGACCCATTTCTATTAAATGGTCTTTTAAATGATCTTTAATGTGGTTCTCTAAAATATCTGAAAAGGATTTTTGAAAAATTAAATGCTTTAAATTTCTCTTTGCTCTCCTCTGCATTCCCTGAAGGCAGCTCTAGCTCCATGCTGGCTAGTCATCCTCCAGTCTGGCCTGTGGAGCGAGGTGTGCACAGAGGTGAATGGAGTACTGGCCTGAGTGAGGGGGTGCACACACAGATGAAGTTAGGCTCCAGTGCCCCCCACTTACAGGTCTTGCATAGCTTTTCAAAATTGCCAAAGTAGTTTTGCATTCTAATTTTCTTAAAGAGGACTTTCTGTATGTAGAGAAAGCTTAAGGCTTCTGTAGATGGTGAAGGCTGCTTGGGTTATGAGCTGCAGGAGGCCAGTCTAGTTGACCCATAGCTCTGGACAGTGTGTGAGAAGAACCAAACCAGGAGAGCCAGAACCTAGCCAGGAGCATCATGCTGTCTCTCCTTGGCCCCATCCCTGCTCTCCGTGGGCTTTTGTTCCCCTTGCTCTGCATCCCTGCTGACTGTCTCCCTCACTCTGTGTCCTGTTGCTCTCCCCCATCCGCTCTCTAACACTCCTGTCAGCCTCCTTTGGGCTGTAGCCTGTGTGGTCCACTGTGGTCTCCTTGGCCTGTCCTCGTCAGGCCACTGATTGTGTCATTCTCCCTATGGATTCGCTCCTTTTGAGTCAGGAGCTGTGCCCAGTGGAATGCGCTGTGCTGACCCAGGGGGTGGGGTAGTGCTCTCCTTCAAGGGGATCCAACAAAAAAAAAAAAGAAAGAAAGAAAGACATGAAAGGGCTGCCCTCTCTGGTTAAACAAACAAGAACATTCAAGATTAAAGGAGATGGGAGACCATAGCCATGCTGATTAGAGCAACAGGAAGACAAATGTATAGCAAGGATCTTCACAGAATGGAATTTGAATTAAACCTCAAAAGAAACTTTGATTTGCAGAAGTAATTGAATTACATTTAAAAAGCTGAATCAGCATATTGACTACCTACTGTGGTCCACACACTGCCTCCGTGCCACACAGAAGATGAATACCAGAGAATGTTGTGTGATAAAGGACCTTTTAAACCAGGTCTCACTGGCCCAGGGGGAAGTGAGTGGAGACACTCTTTCTGCAGTCACAGCAGCTGAGAAGACTTCATAAGAAGCCTGGGCAGCAGGGCTTTGGAGGTTGAGAAAGAAGTTGCTGGTAGATGAGGCTGGGCATCCCAGCAGAGGTGACCACGGGGTCTCAGAGTCAAAGGAAAGTGATCACGTTAGCAGATAAAGGAAAGAAGTCGGTTTGAGAAGAGTAATCAGAGGTCAGCAGATTTTTAAGCTGAACTGATGATATGGTCTCTATTGCAAAGACTTAACTCTGCCATTGTACTGCTACAGCCGTAGTTGATGAATGAACGATGGCCATGAGTGTGTTCTAGTCGAAGGTTATTTACAAAAATCATCTCTGGGCCAGATTTGGCTCATGGCTGATCTCTGTATAAACCAGTCTGGTTTTAAGCACATTGAGTTTGAGGTACCACTGGGATATTCATGAGGATGTCCAACAGACTAGGATATGGCTCAAGGAAAGACAGGAAATTATTACAAAAGTCTGCATTTTATATTTTATTGATTGGGGAGCAGCCATTTCCAGGTAGATTAAACTACTTACTACAAAGAACTGAGTTAAGAGTCAAAATTATCACATTGAAAAATTAAGTTGTTGTAAACGTATCGTCATTGTTTTGATTCAGTTTGAAAACACAACCTCTCTGGAATATCTTGAACTTCGTTGTTAATGTTAATAGCCGGAATCTGCTAAGCAGCAACTATGGATAGTTGTACATTTATTTCATGGGTTGTTGCTGAAGGCTGAGACCAGAGAAGGTGCAGATTCACACTAAACACACAGCTGGAAAGGGGCATGGGCAGGGGCAGAATTCACAGAGCCTTGGTTAGGTCAGCTTTCTATGACAGGCCACTAAGGCAGTGTGAAAGGCTCTGTGTTTTCTCCTGCTCTTGTTAAAAGCAGTCTGGCACATTGCCAGGTCCCTTCTCATGGCCTGAATGTTCACCTGGGAGGACGGTGCCGACACACATTCTGTCATTTTATAAGCCTCCTGTTGCTCTTCAGATTCAGTGAGTCCATTCTCTAAAGTGCTAGCTGAATCACCTAAGGTTTTCACCATCTTGTTATCTGGTCTCTGTTGTGCATGCCTTGTTGCCATTTATATAGAAAACATCCCGCCAACATTGTTATTTCCCACTTGGTCAGGCTATTAGAAGGATGAGCACATTCATCAGAGATGTAACACAGGACTGAAACCTGTGTTCACTAAATAACCACCAGTGTGTAGAATGTCTAGCCAGCTGGATTCTTTTGTCATATGGCTGCCAAGATATTTTTAGCAACATGACTAACAATGGTCATGTTGAGAGGATGATGAAAAATTGCATAATGAGACGAAATCAAGGTAGAGCCCCATGATAGGTATTTGTGTCATGAGTAAGCAGAACTCAATGCAAATGTCCCATCGTGCCACTTCTCAGAACAGCTGCCTTCTATGACCTTTGTGGTTGCTGACTGTGGTTTTGTTTTGTTTTAAGAAAATTCCTGGGAAGTTTAAGAAACTTTTCTCTGAACTTGAAAGCTTAACGGTAAGTAAACGGGACTTATTCTTCAAACTAATATTAGTGCTATTTCCTTCTGAGTTCAGGGTTACACTTACTGTTCTTCATAAAATCAACGCCTAAACTGATTGTTTGAATCTAAACATTACAGTTTTGAGCTGGGCATGGTGATATAATCCTAGTGCATAATCCTAGTGCTTTGGGAGGCTGAGGCAGGAAGATTGCAAGTTCCAGGCCAGCCTGGACTGTGAAATAAGACCCAGTCTTAAAAATAAATGATGCAATGGGCATGATAACATGGAAAGGGGGAAAAAAGTCTCATGGGAAACCAACTCTAGACCAAGAACTACAGGCAACTAGAATATACTGAGAGTGGAGAAGCAGTCTCCGGGGGAAGACCCATTTGGTTGGTTGTCCAGTACCAAGTGATCAGCCCTAAAGTCATATAGATGCAAGGAACATTATGCAGCTTGAGCAGGTTATATTTATATATTTGGGAATACACACACATATAAGATGTTTTATACACACACACACACACACACACACACACACACACACACACACACACATTGAAGAAAAAGAGGCCATAAATTTGGGAGAGAACAAGGAGGCAGGTTCAAGAGAAGGGTTGGATGGAGGAAAGGAAAGAAAGATAAAATTTCAGAATTTTTTTTAATTTAAAAATTTAAGGCTAAATAATAGAGGGTAAGTAGGTAGGTAGGTAGATAGATGATAGATAAACAAATAGATGGTAGATGTAGGTAAGCAATGAAGCATAATATCCACTGATGCTGCCTCCTCTCCCTGTGAAATCCACATGATTTTTTCACAAGGCATTTTTCGTTTCACAACATGAAAGTGGTTGATATAAATTTGGTGAGTAATTAGTGTGCTCTGCATTAATCTTTCCTCCGTTACTTATTGCTTCTTAGGTTTACATATAAGGTCTGTGGCTTGTTTTAGCATTTGGCGTGGTCTTTGTGTTCCAAGGGCAGTTTCTCTTTGCCATGCACTTTAACAAAAGACTTGGAGGTTACCTCATGGTAGAAATTATGCAGAGGAAACAGCACTTGAAGACCCTATTTGAGGAAAATGATAGGGCAATCAGAAGGTGCAGGTCTCTTTTACAGTCGTCTCCCATTATTGTAAACCAATAACTTGAATTCCACACATTGCCTAGATTTCCTCCCCTAATTAGTGGGTTTATTCTCCAAGGAAACCTTTATCCACCTCATTCTTAGGAAGAACCTATCTGTATCTAATCATGTTCAAATTGTACAGCAGATGTAGATTGAGCATTGCTTCTATAGTGCATTGATTTTTCTTTCTCTGTGTGATCTGCTTTGTTGGCAGGATCCTTCCCTAAACCACAAAGCCTACAGGGATGCATTCAAAAAGATGAAGCCGCCAAAAATCCCTTTCATGCCCTTATTGCTTAAAGGTAATGATTTCCTATCTGTTATGGTATGCAATGTCATCTTCCAGAAATGTCTCCTTCTAACTACAGCAGAAAAAAAAATGTGACTCTCAGTTAATATCTTATAGTAGCCTCAGCTTTTATACCTCTATATTTGCATGGAATTGTTTTTCAAATACCCAGTTGTTTTTTAAATGTCTAGAATGTATATTGTACTTGAATAGTGTCAAAGCATTGTCTCTAGAAACTTGTGTGTTTATACTGCTTTGTTACTAAGCCCTGTATTATTTTCTTTAATACCATGACATACTTAAACAAGAATAAGGCTAGCATACAGAGCCCAAAGGGCTAGCAGTGTCTGTTTAAATCCGAGTTTCAGAGACAGCAGTGCATAGTGTACTGATGTGTGAGAAATCCTGTCATTCGACAGAAGCTATGCAGCACATGAAAATTGGTAGAGTGTTTTTTTTCTGTCTCCAAGAAGTGGAATCTAGCTGGGAAGGTATCTGACAGCCCATTTACCACTGAGCTCTCTTCTGTAGCACACACACAGTTCATGTGAAACATGCCAGTTAAACTTGCTGACGTCTCAGTGATCTGTCAGACAGGGCATCAGTGGGAGGGAAGGCTACTGAATCTGGCCTGAACTCCTGACCTTCTGTGTACCCCCAGGGAAGGGGAATTGGGGGGAAATGTTCCTTGGCTACATTTTAATTGTTCCAAAGGGATTTTGTAGAAAGAAGCCTTCATCGGACCTCTGCCTCTCAGAGGTGATGTCTACAGAATCAGGTTCCTTTGGCTGGCCTCATAAATGACTCCGGAAGGGAGTTGCATTGCTGACTGACATGGCCTGGCCATCCTCCCCAACTTCTTCCACTTCCATCCCAGCTGACAGTTAAGCTGGCATTCCCTCCTCTGCCTGTCCTGGAGGACTACTGTGTCTATGCCTCTCTAGAGACACACATTAGTCTTCCTCCATTGCTGCGAAACAAGGAACTGGTGTTAGGACAATGGAGGGGTGCAGGACATAATTTGTGCAGGCTGAAGAATCTTTTCAAAACAGTAAAGTAAGGAAAGACTGAAGTAAAATTATAGTTTAAAGGTTTATTTGCTTTCTTTTTGTACTTACCTGTGTTAGGATACATTTATGCAGGCTCATAGATACTGTTGCAAAGTGCAGTGCCTTCAGCTGGAGGGCGAGTGGTGACAGGTGGAAAGCAATTCTTGAAATTATTTAAACACAAATGGAAACAGTAGGAATGAGCAAATGTGTGGGAAAGGAATTGATTTGGATGAGAAAAACCAGAAACAATAAATGCTTGCAAGGCACTGTCTTCCATTAAGTGTCCCTTTAAACTTAGAAAGAAGTGATCCTGTCCCTCTGTGCTTCCGAAACCTCATGCAGTTGAGACACTCACTTACCTGAGCATGCATGCCGCCTTCTGCTCCGATGAGTTTAGACCGTCTGGTGGCAGCAAAACAAATTTGCTTCTTTTCTGTTGAAACTACATTCACTCATTCCAGAAGAAGCAGTAGAAACCTTTTTGAGTTTAAATAAGCACTTATTTTTTCTTCTATCAGTATTATCTTTTACTTAAAGCTTTCATTCTTATCTGGAATAATGTCCAAAGAAAAATAAGATGATGGTTGAGGGTGTAGCTCAGCTGGTAGAGTGCCAGCCTCAAGTGCAGGAGACATTCAGTCCTCAGCTCTGCATAAACCAGCCATGGTGGTAGAGGTCTAAGATCCCAGCCCTCCAGAGGCGGTAGCCAGATAGATCAAGAGTTTAAGGTCATCCTCAACTATAGGCCCAATTAGAGACCATCCTGGCTACATGAAACTCCATCTTTAGAAAGAAAAGAAAAATACAAAAATGTGTATCATGGCTACTAGTGGACACTTTAGAAATAAACCACTTTAATTCTTAGGCATTTTAACGGAATAATTATTTGAACTATTTTAGAGTAACTAGCTTAATATTTAGTGACAACTCTTCCTCTCACTTCTGTGCCTTCTAATTCAAGTTGCTTTCCATCAGAAAATGGGGAAGAGAGGTTGAACTCAGGGTCTGTGTGTGCAGGAAGGGTTAGACCTCCCATGGTTCCTGTGGTAAGTAGTAGCTCCCAGTGAGAAACCCTCAGGTGTGAAGCCTTTCTTCTCCTCGGGCCAGCCTCTGTCCCCTCAGTCACTCCTCAGCTTTCTGTTCACCAGTCCCTTCTGTACTTCAGCTTTCTGCAGCCCACACGAGCATGAGACACACATGTGCACGTACTCACACACACACACACTCATACTCTCTCACACTCACACATTCACACATATTCACATTCACTCATACTCTCTCTTACACATTCACACACTCATACTCTCACACTCACACACACATGCACTCACACACACATGCACTCACACACACTCATACACATACACACTCACACACACAAGCACTCACACACTCACACTCACTCATACTCACACTCACACATATGCACACACACACTCACACACTCACACATATACAAACTCACACATGCACTCACACACACTCATACACACTCACAAACATACACACTACACACATGCACTTTTACACTCACACACACTCATTTTCACACACTCACACATACACTCAGACACACATGCACTCTCACACACACACACATATACACACTCACACTTACACACACATGCACTCACACACACACACTCACACTCCTGAGTAGAGCACCTATCCCACCTGCTGCCTTCAACAAGTCCTGAGAGCCTATGGGGAGAGATGAGGTCAAGTGGGAAGACATTCAAGAAAGGATGTAGGAGACAACTTACAAGTTGCAGAGGTGACAGGTGTGGCAGAAGCCCAGCGGGTGGACTCTAACCGGAATTGAGAGACCTAAGTCTTTCCATAGCCTGACGCCCGTGTCTGAAGGACCCTGCCCTCCCTACCACTGATTCCCGGCTCTGCCAATGGCATCAGCATGATTTAGCTGTGACTGTCTCTTGGGCCCTTGTTTCTCTGCATGCTTACTTCCTGCAGCCGCCTTAGAAAGCCTTCGTGAGACCAAGTGGGTCAATTCATGTAAAAACCTGAAGCTGTGCCTGATAATATTGTCACTGGCCGTCGCCATCCTTAGGAGCATGGGGTGGGGGCGGGTGGCACCAGCCACTGAAAGGAACCCGTGAGGCCAAGCTCCTAGGCTGTGTCTCATGGTGGCTGAGTGAGCGCAGAGTAGTGTTTGCTGCATACAAAATGTAAAAGTGAACTTTGCGAGCTACTCCTTTTGAAATCTTGTGTTGTGGGAATTTCTGAAGGCGAAACCATGAAAATTAGTAAGCTATTGTGTAATGAATTGTGAATGGTTCTGTGAGCGGCTGTTTATAGAAATCTCCAAAGGATAAAAAGCTCATGTCACCACAGCAAGCCATACTGCATGCAAGGGACACCTTGGGGACAGGTGTGTCTCAGTGTGTGCTGCCTTCGGTGGCCCTGGGAGCACAAGCTCGCAGTGTTGCAGTCAGGTTTCGCAGCACCTGTCTCAACAGCTTTGACTGGGTCTGTTGTTGGTGACAGCAGGGGTATTTACATGTTCTTTAAGTTGAATAATTCGTACTGCAGTCCTTGGCTGTGGAGACGCTAAGGTTCCATTATGCACTGTCTCATCCATTTTTGTATGCCAGAAATCCCCAGAGCCTCAGATGCTAGCTTAATATGTGTCATCCCCAAATCTTTACCTCTTGAAGAGTCAGTCTTTCAGACAAAAGGAGGTTTCTCTTTTAGCATCCTCAGCCACATCTTTGGGACAGTGGGAAGACCCAAGCCCTCACCACTAAACACAGGCCCAGCCACTGAACTGGACCCCAGCACCTTGGTCACTTAAAACCTAGTGAATCTCAAACCAGATTTAATTTTCCCTTTTCCCTAGAAGCAGCCCTTCCTTCTGCTGCCTTTCCTGTTTAATCTTCCTAGCGATGCTGTCTCTCTCCCAGTCACATCACTTCTGATACACAGGCTTTGGAAACCAAACTTTTTAATTTCTTCATGTTTTTAATGTAAACTTGGAAATCTGAATCTAAACTGTTTTAACTAAAGAAAGTCCCATTTACACTGGCTAAACGAGGTTTTATGCAAATATATAAATATTAAATCCCTGTTGCTTATGAATATTTATTTATTTTCTGCTCAGTCTTTTGACCTGAAAAACATAATGGATCAATTAAATTACAAAATTGCATCAGCTGATATCACCGCAAGTTAAAATCAACTCTTCACTGTAAATGCAAAGTATTTCAGGAAGGCTATGCTGCCCCCTAAACTTATTGTTGTACAGGGTTAGTTTCAAGTCACCTTGTCAAATATGTGGCATAATTCCAAAATGCTTAAGAAAAAAAATCATAAATTGCCTTGTTTCTAAACAAGTTTGTTGTTTCAGGATCTCTTCCTAATAGTATATTTATCTTGCTGTTTTTAACTTCCAGATGTAACGTTTATTCACGAAGGAAATAAAACATTCTTGGATAATCTTGTCAACTTTGAAAAGCTGGTATGTACACTTCATTGCTTTTCCTTTTTCCTCTCTGTAAGGGAAATGCATGTTGTCTTTCCTGCTCCAGGAAGCAAACGGTCTGGGTACCTTTTCTCTGCTGTGCACAGAGTGACCTCAGGGTCTCTGCTGCATGTGTGACGATGTCATCACTAGGCTGGCACGACTTTGAGAATCTGCCTTTTATTCTTTTAAGTAGTATCTCGTTAGCTTAGCACCGGTGACTGGGTAAATAGTATGGAACCAGGTATAAAGGCATGAAGGTGCTGTCAGAAGCAGTTCCCACAGGAGAGCTCAGTGTCTGCACAAGCGTGCCAGGATGCCCCAGGGTAAACCACTTTAAGTCAGTGAGCAAGAAAGTCCTCCCAGATAGCTGTGTCTGTCTCTCAGAACCCCAAGCTTGGATATGCACCTGAGATTCATGGGTTCTACAGGTGAGGGGAAAGGCTGCCTCCTTATTGGCCTCTGCTGCAGGACCTCCCCACTGATGGATGCAGGGACCTGGTCAGGCCTCTTGTGTACGTACATTCCTGGGAGGTTTCTCCCTAACCACCCTTCCAGGACAGTCACAGTTTATCCTCGGTGGGCCCCTTAACCCTTCTGCCCTTGCACCAAGAAGAAGCTATCTACAGAGCTGAGTGGGCCTGAGGGGGGACCCCATAGCAGTGCCCCACACTCAGCCTCGTGACCAGAGGAAGGCATTTTTCTGACAGATGACCTTTAGTGTCATAGATGAAATGTTACATCATGGTCAAAGGTGATCCCAGCACTCCTCTCTAGGGATCCTCCTGACCTTTGAGTGGCCTTTTCAGTGATGACAGTGGATTTGCATGAGCTCTTTCAGGAACCATCCCTATGAGACTAGAGTCAGGCTTCAGAGAAGGTCAGTTGAGGCTGAGGCCCCAGACCAAATCCTGTACGAACTGTTTAAAGAGCATTCAGACTGAAGTCTCCAAGTGGTGTCTGGTGTCTGACCTTGCCTTCTTATCTCTCTGTCACAAGGCCCCCAGGACACACAGGGGCTGAGGCACACAGGAAAAGTGAAGTTAGCTCCTTCACCCAACACCCCAAACCCGAACTACCAGCCTCTCTCAAAGATAGACATCCTCCAGCCTCACTCCGTAGTAGCCCTTAGCAACTCGGAAGATGACGGCTTTGGGACAGTTATTTGGGGAGTTGAGATGCAGATGTGTTTTGTTTCAAGTCTCTTTCTTTCTCTCTGCCCCAAATATTTTAGAATCAGAGCTCAGTTGTTTCACATGCTACAGTGAAACCAACATGGCCAGCAGTGGGAATGTGGAGGGATTTTCATCTTGTTTTGTATTGTTCTGTGATTCCCTGAGGACCCCAGCTTGCCCCTTAGCAACCAAAGTCTCAGTCACTAGAATTCTCAGCCTAAGCAAGTTTATCTCCAGAGTTTGGTATTTATGAATGGTCACAGGGATATGAAGCTATTGGTCAGAACTTTCTTTGCCTCCTGTCCAATATGTCTGTTTCAAATCACCAGAAGAGCGTTGTAGGGTATGTGTGAAGATCTGGGATGTACCATGTCACCTGGCCTGGAAGTCTTTGTGGGTCTGGGGTGTTTTCCCCTCTGACCCTGTGGGGATGTAGGAAGGCCATTGCACTCCTTAAAAACTGTTACCTCTTCAGAGCAGACTGGGAGTTGACCTTCACCCTAAGGCGAACAGTGGCCTGGCTCCATTCCTTGTGTTCTTTCTCCTCAGATAATGTCACAGCATGAAAGAACAGTTCCACACAGGCTCACACAGAAAGAGCCATGAGAGGCTTCAAGCTCTTTCCACCCTCTCCCTTTCTTCATTGTCTGTGGTCTTTTCTTTCCCCCCAGCAATTCAGTGGAGCCCAACAGTAGGCTGACACAAGGTATAAATACTGACTCCACTACATCCATAAGAACGTTTAAGAAAACAGCATGGAAGCTGAGCCTGAGTCTATAATCCCAGCACTCAGGAAGCTGGGCTAGGAGGGTCAGCCTGAGGTACATAGTGAGTTCCAGGCCAGCCTAGGCTACAGGACAAGATGCTACCTCAAACAAGCAAACAAAATCCAGCAGATCCTTGGCCATCAGACACCTACTGGCACATCATTCCTTGAATGTGTGTGTGCGTGTGTGCGTGCATGCGTGCAGTGTGTGTGTGTATGTGTGTCCTGGTCTATCACTTTCCACCCTTGAGAGAGGGTCTCTCCCTGAACCTGGAGCTAAGGTGGTAACCAGCAAGCCTCAGCAAGCCTCCTGTCCCTACTCCCTGTTCCCCGTGGTGCTGAGGTTACAGGCACATGCATAGCCATGGCAAGCTCTTTATGTGGGTTCCTGGAGAGTTGAATTCAAGCCCTCATGCCTGCACTGCAAATGCTCTTGCTCACCAAGCCATTTCCCCAGGCCCTTGTGTATCATTCCTAAAGAGAGGAAACTACACTAATGATGGCCTGGTCCTCAAACCACTTGAAATGCAAGTGGCTCTTCAAACTCAGCATGCCTTGAGTTGACCCTCCTTTGTGAAAAAGACAGATGAGATTAGAATTTTTTTTTTCAGAAACACAAAAATCAATTTCATATCATACTCAGGCCAGCATTCCACTCAGGAGCTGGAGCATCTTTGTAGAGACAGTATTCTTAGAGAGTGTCTCTTAGCAGAGGACAAGGTTTCATTGAAGCTAAAACAGGATCATCTTTCACAATAATCAACCAATGGGACCTAAGTGAATTAGCTTATGAGCAGCCAGTTCCTCACGGTGGATGTTAACTTCAGCCAGTCAGCAGATAACTCAGGGTGTTATCTTTATCTGGCTGACACAGGCCTGCACATTAAATCAGACCACATGCAAATCCAGAAGTGCTCATCAGGTGCAATAAGATCCCCATTGTTCCCTGGGCTAAGTTCCTTGCTGCCTCAGCAGCTCTAGATGTTTCTACCTCAAGCTATGAAATGTTGAAGGAGCAGAGGATTCTGTCCTTTTCTTTCGTCCCCCGATATTACGAGCATGATCTTTGATCGTGTCTGCCTCCCGTCCTGTCGGAACAAGCAGAGATGGGAATCAGGACTGCAGTCTCGTGCTGCACACAGCACTGAGCCTTACATCAGCCCAGCCTCTCAGTGCTGCACAAATGTCACAGGATAGGGATCGGCGTGACGCCACAGACTGAAACAACAGAAAGTCTGTCCTGGGAATTGGGGTAGAATTTGGGGAAGGAAATGTAACAATGCGTTCACACAGACGTGAGTCCGGTCTCATTTCCTCTTCAAATGCTGCCTGGCTGCCCCACTGAACTCTCTACTATGGATGGTATTGAATGAGCCGAACGGTAGCCAGGATAATTTAATCAGACTGTCAAATCCTGATAGCGTTTCTGTCATCTCATTGGATTTTAAGTGAGGACGTTTTATTGTTAGCATTATTCTGTTAGCAATAACTCACCGTTTGTCATCTGTGGGTGCTCCTGTGACTGACCTGTGCAGGCAGGTTGTGAAGACGGTGCTTGGAGGACCAGATAATGAATTGGTGTTGATCCTTGAATAATGAGATATTTGGGTTTTGATTTGAAACCAAGTAAGGAGTTCCCGTCATTCTCCAGAGAATAGGATCTACTATGGCAGCACTGTTAGAATATTCTGGCATCTGTGTGGGAGGAACTATCCCTAGTGGAGGGCAGTTCTTCTGAAACACTAGGTTTCCCACCATTGTGGAACAGTGAAAATAGCCGAGTGAGCTAAAGGACTACTGTAGAGACACAGGTATGAGGTGAAGGGATCTTGTCCAGGCTTGGTGGTGTAGGTCTGTGACCCCAGCTACTCAGGAGGCTGAGGCAGGAAGATTGAGAATTCTAGGCCAGCCTGGGCAGGCAGGTGAGACACTCTCTAGAAATCTTAAAAAAAAAAGTCTGGGTAGCTCAGTGGTAGAACACTTACCTGATACGCACAAGGCCTAAGCATGGTCTCCTCTTCCAAAATGGCCTTTAAAAATGCTGATGTAGACACTCTTCTTCCACGAGTCCTTCAGGTCCCACCATTGTTTGAGCCCTTGAATCCACAAACTCTCTGCCTCCATTCGGGACATGCATGGGAGCCCATAGATGAGGCTCAATTAGTGGAGTTGCCAGCTGAGCATTCAAGAGTCCCTGGGTTTGATCCCCAGCCCTGTAACTGGGGCAGTGGCACACACGTGAGCCTGTGTCCTGAGTATGCAGAGTCTTCTGGTGGTAAAAGTCCCAGCAGTGACAGTAACTCAGAGTCAGTGTATGCTGTACTCCTCAGAAGGGAGGTCTCAAAGAGGCTTCATGAAGAGAAGGCAACACCTCACCTTCAAGGAACTCACAAGCAAATGTGGACAGGAAGTTGGGGGCAGTAAAGACAGCATGTTCTCCTGTGGTTCAGCACATCTCCACTATCTGGGAGCCACCATTTTTGCTGACGCAAACTCTATACTCTTGAATAATCCAAGATTAACATAATCAATTAAAATTGTGTCCAGCTCCAAGCTGAACTCTTCGCTTCTTACCCAAAGCGCTAGGCTGCCATCTGTCCCTGCAGGTGTTGCTGCCTCAGTGGTCCTTCATTGCCGCACTCTCCCTCTGTCTTTCAGCACATGATTGCAGACACTGTCCGAACCCTGAGACACTGCAGAAGTAACCAGTTTGGTGAGTAATTGAAATTGGGGTGGAACGCATACTGACTTCTCAGTGATACTGACTGTGGCCATTCAAGAAATACTTAATGACCCTAAATTCAAACAAATTATGAAGTCTATGTATCAATGTGCGTGCTTTGTTTATATTCTAGATTTTTATTGTGCTCCCTCACTGCGTCTTTGGAATGTAGAGTAAGACAAGATGTGGCAGATCATTGCCCCCTTGTGCAAGCAGTCGGAGAGACAGAAGTTCACCCACCCACCCCATCCCCTTCTCCGTTTCGCTTGCCCAGCCCCTCAGATTTACTGATGAGTTTAGCAGCATGGCCCTGCCTCTAGCCTCCTTGCTAGGAGACCTTCCTGGAATAGATCTGTGGTTTATTAGGGCGCCTGAAGTGGCCTTCCACTGTTTTTCTTCCCTTCAACCCAAGCTTCCTATCAGTTGAAAAAGTTTTGGTTTTTTTCCTGAGCACTTTTGTAGAATCTTTCCTGAGACTACATATGCAGGGATATTTTTTTTTCCATTTTGAATCTCAGTCATGTCTACCCTGTGTTTCAATGGTATTAGTGTTTTTCAAGAAGGGAGAAAATTGTCTTGACAAAGTGGCAGGAGCTTTTACCTGGACAGCAGGATCCTGCCCATCCTGGTGAGCAGGCATCCTTTTTTTTTTTTAATTATTATTTTATTAAGAGATTTTCTATTCATTCTACATACCAACCACATTCCCCTGTCCTCCCTCCTCCTGCCCCCCAGCATTCTCCCCCAACCCACCCCCCTTTCCCGCCTCCTCCAAGGCAAGGTCTCCCATGGGGAGTCAGCAGAGCCTGGTATATTCAGTTAAGGCAGGTCCAAGCCCCTCCTCCCGTGAGCAGGCGTCCTTAACCCTTTGGTGCAGAACCCAGAGCCAAGGCTAAGAGAGGCTAATTCATGCAGTCCTGGCTTCTTTCCCAGCCCATTACTTTGACCTGTGCTGATTCTACAGGTAGAAATAGTAATTTTAAAAGAGAGAGAGAGCCAGACGGTGGTTGCACACCCCTTTAATCCCAGCACTTGGGAGGCAGAGGCAGACAGATCTCTGTGAGTTCGAGGCCAGCCTGGTCTATGGAGCTAGTTCCAGGACAGCCAGGGCAGTTACACAGAGAAACTCTGGAGAGAAGCAGGAGGTGGGAGTGGAGGTGGGGGGGTAGGGGTGGGGGGGTGGAGACCTGGAGAAATGCCTTTGGAAGTTAAGAACACTCGCTGCTCTTGCAGAGGACCATGGTTCAGTTCCCAACACCCACATGGTAATTCACAACCATCTGTAACTCCAGGTCAAGGGAATTTGACACCTCCTGATATCTGAGGGCTCTTGCATGCATATGATGCACATACATACACTCAGGCACACACACATATAGATGAAATAAAATAAATACAGTTCAATAATTATAAATCAAAGATGGGCAACCTGGTGGGAGTAGACTTTAAGTATTATATCTTCATTGCAATTTGTTTCAAAAATACCGCAAATATAGAGAATCAGAGTCCACCACCACCAAAGAAAGTACTCCTAACTATTTGGTATGAATGCTTCAAATGCTTATTCTATAGTATACTGCTCGTGGATGTCACTACAGTGGATAGTATCCCCCAGCAAAGCCAACTAGGAACTGAACCTCCTATATGTGTTATGAAGTAGAGAAGGAGAATTATAAAATACAGAACCTGATTCTCTAAATATTCAATTCAGTGGATACTACTTGAAATGCACTTCTATAAGTTTTCATTAAGTCCATGAGCACAATGCAGTCATAATAGAGTGGCACTGTTACCACAAAGGTCCTTCAGATGCCCAGTGCACGTTCACATTTCTTCCATTGGCCTTTGCTTCCAAAGTGATCACCAAATACTCAGCTAAAACTACCAGTCTGATTTATCAAGAAACAGTTTTTGTGTATTCCCAGTATGGGCAAGAGGGTCATGCTGGCTTGGCTGACCAGGCTTGAACCTCCCACTCACCAGAGGATTCTGCATAGCCCAAAGCAAAGGTAAAACTTAGCTGTCAGGTGTGTGTTCTTAAAATTAGGCTGCGACTAAATTATCTGACCTCCTTTTAACAATTTCTTTCTATGAGCCTCATTAACCAATGCTAATATGTGGGATAAGGTAAGAAAACATCACTCAAAACAGTTATGAACTATGGAGTGCCACGCAAGGGTCAGCATGATTGCTGGGACTGTTCATCGGGACATCTTTTGAATGCTTGTTATTGACAAACTTATCTGTACAGCTGGCCAGCGTTTACCAAACTAAAAGCGATCTCCCAATGTCTTCCAGAAAGACATTCCAGCATCATAGCTTACCAGTCACGGTTACAATGCTGAACTTCCAGTGTTTATTTGCTGAGGCCAGGAAGTCCAAGAGTTAGAAGCTGTCTATGGCGGACAGCTCAAATTATTTTCTTACCAGACATATTCTTCATGGGAGAGGGAGAAACTGTTTTTCCCAGAAGTGCTGCAGTACATGCTCCTTTTCTGAGCCTGCATCCTGAGACTCACCGTGGCTTTGTCAGTCAGTTCTCCTCTTCCCTAATGTGGGTTCTTTTCTGTTTCTCTTTTCCCGTGGTGTTGGGCTTGCCCCATTGTCCATGCACCTTACCTCAGGATCCTTATGAGAGCTGTCCCTGGTGTGCATCCACATAGTCATGACTCACTGAAACCTCTCTTGTGGCCTCTTTGGATTGCCTTATCCTCCTGGGTACTCTTTAGCCCGTGCATACATTTTGTGAGCCCACTTTTCCTGTACCCGTTCCTGAGGTTCTATTCTATGGACACCAAAAAAGTGTACAGAAATCTAGTAAGCTTTTGTGTTCAGATACTCATTCCTAACAATTCCAAGCTGAGATATACAAACTACAGACCAATGCTTGGGAGTTTGTGCTCAGGAACCAATGGGGCCTGGTTTTGCATCCTAGCTATGGCATTTACTGGCTGCCTGCTGAGTTTCCTCATCTGTAAAGGGGTGACAGTATGACTTCTAAATAGTCTGTTTGGTATGGATGCCTTTCCAGTCAGCCTGCCTGATCTGAGCTGAAGTTGTTCATCTCCGGGGACAAGGATGCTGCTTCTAGAACTAACCTACTCTCAACCCTTCGTGTGGGGTTTACTGCATAAAAGTAACGCCACTGCTCCCATGACGTTGATTGTTCATTTTTCCTCTAAAAATTAGGAAGTGACATGTCTCCAAAGGAGCAGCAAGAGCTGAAGTCCTATGTCAACCACCTGTATGTCATCGACAGCCAGCAGGCCCTGTTCGAGCTCTCTCACAGGCTGGAGCCCCGGGCCTGAGCCATGCCATTCTGCCCTGTGACTGCAGCACGTAGAGCGAAGGAAAGGTCTCCGGTCAGCATGTTGCTTCCTGTGAGAAAAGAGGTTGCTGAGTTTTATCAGCATACCATGAGACAAGTGCAGGAAAGCCAGCCAAAGCAAGTTTGGGAAGTGACGTCATCCACCCGAGGCAGGAGAGTGCCCCCCTCCACCCCTGCTGTCAGTGAGAAGACAAAAGGAATCAGAGCATCCTTGGAACAGGGTTTTTCTTATGCTGGTGATTTCAATCCAGCCCAAGTCTCAGCTTATGGTGTGGCAGCATTAAGAGAAAACATGTCTTGATATACAGCAGCCAGATTGTTGTTGTTTTTTTCCAGTAAGATTGTGTGTATAGCAGGAAGGACCGTCACTCTGCCTGTACCACTTGACTGCCTGTGGGCCATTAAGAGACTGAGAACACCTGAAGACATCTCCAGTGAGAGCATCTCCAGAGGGCCCAGGAGGAGAGGCTTCTGCAGCTAGAAACTGGACATCACCCTGGCAGGCATGGCCTGCTGTGCAAATAAGAAATGCCTGGCACACACTTCTTTGCTTCCACAATCATTTACCAGTGTATGTGCAGATGAAACTAGCTTCTGTACCACTGATGTACTCCTGTAAGCAAGGCAGACTGAGTTTCTCATCCCATAAGGAACTGGGCAGTGTTCAGTTTCTGGGAACTTTCTTTACATATATTTTTGTTCTTGTTGTCGTTGAGTGCAACATGATTTTCAGAAAAACCTGGACCCGATGGTGGGTCCTCACTGTCCACTTACTGAGATCACAGAGTTGCCAGCTTCTGCATTCTTGTGCCTGATGCAGCCTTGGTGTTTGCAGAACTCCACCAGGCTCCCTGCCCACGGGATGTAGAATGTCAGCCCATGAGGGAGCAGGAGTGAAGCGGAGTATATATCGCTTAGCAGTTGGGCTTACCAGTCTTTCAGTGATTGAAAGGTACCCAGAAATGCCTAAAATCTGACTTAACTGGAGAGTTGGAACCCCCACAGTCCACTTCCCAAGTAAAGCCAGAGCCTCTCTGCAATTTGCCTTTTTCCTTTTCATTTTTTTATTTTTATTTTTATTTTTACAAATCGGGCCTCATATACCAAATAACACCTCTTGGAATTCTCAAGGACTGGTTAGGGGATTTCCCTGAATCCTCAAGTAAGCAAAGAGCTTGTGGTTAAAACAAGCCTGCTGTCCCAATAGCTCTTCACTATGTGCACGCCCCCATCTGATGTATTAGGTGTATGCATTTTCAATCCTGAGTATGGGTATGTTCCTCACACCCCTGAGGGACTGACTGGTGAGTGTCCACAGACCTGCTTCCTACTCTCTTCAGCACCATCATCTAAGGTATGCCCCTTGCCTCCTGACTCCTTGAGAGCCACGCTGTTTCCTGGTCTTGGGACCACAGTGAGCCTGAGATACTGCTAGAAGGAACTATATGGAAAAATTTGGGATAGAGCTTTCAAAGAGGTTGCATCTGGTCCAGCGTGTAAAATTTCAGTCCTGGAAACTTATGGGATGTTGTGGAAACACTCCAGCTAGGACTGGTTCCCTGAGAAAATGTTTCACAGGGCTGAGAGCCAACAGATGAGAGCAGAGCCGCAGAACCAGGGAAAGCGGGCTTTCTTGGTGTGTGACCAAGCACAAGCACTCACAACGCCCTTGGCAGTTTCTGAGAATGCCGCAGACTTAGAGCACAAACACTTGTGTCTTCCCTCCAAGCTAGCAACCAGGATTGGGCTAGTGAAATCGTACCAGGCCATTTGATACTGTCTGTGTTCTAACCTAATGAATTAACATTAGCTCTTACATTGCTCCAAGCAGAACCTTCCCTTCAGAACTCATTGTAGGTGGAGATCAGTTTGAGTAGAACTCATCTGTCTAGACGCCAGCTCAACTGGGCTGCACAAGCCATACCTGCATCATGCTTAGCATACTTATAAAATCCTGTAGGACATGAGTGGGAACAGGCCGGGAGAGTCTGCTTTTCCCAAAGCAAAAGTCAGGTGGCATTTGTTTTCCCATCCTGTCTCCTGAATATCTGAAATCTCTACATCTTCAACCTTAACACCTGTTTCTAGGGATTTCTCAGGCAGCAGATCTAGGGACTTCAGGAGGTTTGCAGAATCTTAAATCTGAAATGAGAGAATATTCCAGAATTGTCAGACCCTGTTTGTTCCACAGGAAGGTCTTCCTAAGGCAGCTGACCCGGTTCCTTCTCCAGAGCCTCCCCTGGGTCTCCCCAGAATCAGTATTGCTCTCCCTGAAGGTGGACTAAGAGATGTCTAGGGTCTCTTCCAGTTCTCCTTTGGATTTTTATGATTACATAGATCCCCATCCCTCCCTAAACCCTGTATAATTGGGATCTTCAACAGTGAGTGATACCTGGACCTCTTTCTAAGAGCACAGCCCTCTAGGGGGGCTGTGGGTCTTGGCATTCCATTCCTGCCAAGCAGCCCCACTTGCTAGTTAGCACGGGAGGCAGAACGTGAGTTCATCTAGGGGAAGTCACCAACTTTCCAAATGTTTTAAAGAATTTACACACGCATTTGCAGATGCTCCATAGCCTACAGGTTTGAAATTCACTTACAGTCTGTATAATTGCCAAATGGTTATAGTAGCACATAGAATAACTCACATTCACTCTTTTCTAGTATCCTTAATTGCATTGAGAATAAATTCCTTTTCCTACTCCAGTATCTACAAGCAAGTAGTGTGGCACATACTTTGAATTTAGAGGCATGAGAATAACGTCCCACACCTCCTAGTCTGCAGGGACATATTTCCTAGATGCACACGCGCCTGAATGAAGAGTAAGTGGTGTGGACAAGTGGCTGCTTGTGTAGACTTCTGGTCCTGGAGCTGGCCCCTTGATGCTGCCTAAGTCCCAGCACTGTGGTTTTGCTACAGACAACACATGCACTGCAGACCCTGAACTAAATGACACAAGCACCCAAGCTTTTCAGAATTGGACCAAATCATTAATGTTTGGAAGACAAGGGCCACTGCAGCTGTCCAGCATAGGAGTTCTTCTCAACTTCAAAGACGTGTCCTTGAAATTTCAGCCTGCTCATTACTGAGTGGGCCAGTTTTGCTCCAGAGAAAACACATTTTGAAAAAAATTGCCAAAAAAGTCAGATGAAATGTACTACTGTATAAAGCAAAGCTGTATATACTAAGCATTTTTAGCAGAGTAATATTTATTTGCATAGCCTATTTATTGTATTCGTATTACACTGTTATTAAATACCAGGATGAAATCAATGACCAGAAGCGAGGACTCTTGCCTTTGGATATCTCATTGCTTAGGACTGCTGTGACATTGTCAGCTTGCGATAACAATTAGAAGATAGAAAGCCCACAGTCTGGGCATCTACCTAACTTCTCAGGGACTACACCTCGTAGTTTTCCACCATTCTAAGAGCTGGTAAATATGAAACATTTGTTGAATTACCAGACTGCCATTGACAGTGTTTGCTTTTCATAGTTCATGCTTTCTGCCTCTGTGTATATGACTGTGCTGTGTATTTATCAAAGTAGGAAGCAATAATTTATATGTAAAAATGGCCAAGCAATATAAGGTTAAAACTTACATAAGTAACCATTACCTTATCTTGTATTTTCAAGTGTTTTTTTAACCTGCTTTTCCAAATATAAGACTATGTTAAACATACTGCTCATGCCTAGACTCTTCTTTCTTGTGGCCATGGGCCTGTGTTCCAGCACCATCTGGTGCTCTGTCTAGAACTCAAGGTGTCTCACTGAAAGAACTACAAGTAGGTGAAGAGCTCCAAGAACCCAGTCACCTACCCTGCTACTGCACCTGAACACTGCAGAGACTAAACACCACCTATTGGAAATCATAGCTTGATCTGAGCCTTGGAGAATGCCACACATGCTTCCATCACCCCACTCTACTTGAGTAGACCTGGGAATAAAGAGGAGTACCAGGCCTAGTGATTCCTATGCCAGGACGGAGGAGCTGAGTGGGTGGAGCTGTGGAGGGCTCTGGTGATGATCAGGAAAAGTGGGACAGGTATCTGCCAGCACTGTGTCAGTGTTCCAGGCCTTCTGCATCGCTCTCTGATACACTCAATGTCCCAATTGTCAAATTTAAAAATGGCCTGTGGCATGTGGCATCCCCTCCCCATGGGAATATTATATACCTCACGATGTTGAACTGTAACACAAATTGCTGAATGGTTTTATAAATGAAATACACGGGAGCCAGGTATTGGGGTGAATTCTGAAAGATCAGAGAAACAGAACAAGCCATAGCCAACCTCACTTTGCCAACTTCTCAGCCAATTCTGTTTCCACAAATCCTCAGACTGAAAGTTTCTGAGTTCTCATCCAAATTGATCTCAGCTGAACTGCTGCTAAAAGCCTAAAAGCTTAAAAGCATCTAGTTCCTGGTCCTCATGCCTTATATACCTTTCTGCTTCCTGCCATCACTTCCTGGGATTAAAGGTGTGTGTCTTTCCCAAGCAAGACATGAGATCTCAAGTGCTGGGATTAAAGGTGTGAGAAACCCTGTCTCGAAAAACCAAAAAAAAAAAAAAAAGGTATGTGCCACCATGCCTGGCTGTTTCCAGTGTGGCCTTGAACACACACAGATCCTACCTGCATGTGCTACCACTGTCTGACTTCTTTGTTTACTTATAATGGCTGGCCTTTTTCCTCTGATCTCCATGCAAGCTTTATTTATTAAAGCACAAATAAAATATCTCCGCATTTCAGCACAAATAAAATATCACCACATTAGCCGGGCATTGGTGGCGCACGCCTTTAATCCCAGCACTCAGGAGGCAGAGGCAGGCGGATTTCTGTGAGTCTGAGGCCAGCCTGGTCTCCAAAGCGAGTTCCAGGAAAGGCACAAAGCTACACAGAGAAACCATGTCTCAAAAAACCAAAAAAAAAAGTCACCACATTGAACTTTGAACTCTGGAATGGTCAGGTGTCTTGTTCTGTCTAGTGAAAAGGAGGAGTGACCCGTGTGATTTGTTTAAGTGTTGGAGGAAATCTGTGCTTTCCACGTCTGTTCCACTAGGAGCTCTGCACTGCTGAAGGTGAAAATGTCCAATCTGGGTCTTGGAGCTAAGGCAAAAAATGTAACAAAGCTGCAACTTAAGAACACCTTGAGAACAATACACAGCATTGCCGTTGGATGCCACTGAGACTTGGCAGTTGTTTCTCAGCAGAATTTAGCCTAACTGATTAGTACAGTCTCCCCCAACCCTTCTCAATGTACTTCACTTTGTCTTAGAGCAGTGGTTCTCAATCTTCCTAATCCTGCGACCCTTTAATAGAGTTCCTCATGTTGTGGTGACCCCCCCCAAACCATACAATTATTTTCACTGCTACTTCATAACTATAATTTTGCTACTGTTATGAATTATTGTGTAAATATCTTTTCTGATAGTCTTAGGTGACCCCTATGAAAGGGTCATTCAACCTCAAAATGGTCATGAACCACAGATTGAGAACCTCTACCTTAGACCATTGACAAGTAATTATCAGCTTTGCAGTAGCTGATGGATGACATACTATATCTGTGTAATGTACTTGTCTTTATGTGAGAAAAGGTAAAAATGATCTGAAGACCATTTCCTTAGATTAAAGCCTAATTAAAAGTCACCAGGAATTTGCCCATCTGTACAAGGGGAAATGGAGGGAACGTACAAGGGACAGTGTTCTTTGATAGCAACTTGGAGCAGAGGCAGGTGTTCCCTGCACTTTACTGTCTTAACCTGGTCCCATTGTTACCTCATCCTTGGAGACTTCCACATAGGGTCCTCCCGAAATCAGGAACTATCCTGGAGATAAGAGTGGGCAGCCCTGAGCTCCAGATTTGAGAGGAAGTAGATGAGAGGGCAGTGCCAGTTGGCAATGTTCCTACCTGATTTCCTCTGGTTCCAGTTAGAAGGAGGAACTAGAAGAACTAGGTTCACATGAGACAGAACCCTGTGCTCTTTCAAGTCAACAAACCTCAAAATGAATTTGTGATCCTGGCCCCAGGGACCTAGCTGCAGAATGGATTTCAGGGCAGCAGTCTCAGCACTGGGGTCCATTCTTGGAGGTCTCTAGGGCCCCCAATAAGCAGTCTCTACTTCCCTTCAGAAGATACTTGAAACAATTGAGATTCCTACAGTTTTAGGTTTGCTAAGGATCCTGCAGTGAGGCATCCCTGTTACTGGAGGCTGCCAGAATTTCTCTTACCTAAACAGAACAAGCAGTTGTCCTTCTACAAACAAGAAAAGCACATCTGCCATGACAGATGGTCACTGTGGAATAATCCTTTTGTACTCTGAAGATGTGTTGCTCTCATTGTTAATAAAGAGCTGACTGGCTAATAGCTAGACAGGAAGAGGTTAGGCAGGAGAGCCAGACTGAGAGAACGCTGGGAAGAAGGAGGGTGGAGTCCCCAGCCTGACACAGAGGAAGCAGGAGATGAACATGCCATGCTGAAAAAAAGTACCGCCATGTGGTAGGACATAGGTAGAAATATGGGTTAATTTAAGTTGAAAGAGCTAGTTAGTAACAAGCCTAAGCTATCAGCCAAGTATAATTAATAAGTTTCTGTGTGGTTATTTGGGAGTTAGCAGGTGAGACAAAAAACTCTGCCTACAAATGGTGCAGAGTCAGAGCCAAGGCCTGTAACGCAGGGCCTCTGGGAAACATGCTTAGACCCCTACCAGACTCAGAGCTTAGTTCTTGGTTTTGTCTTTCTAATGGTGACTTGTGTTTGCTTACAAGGAACAGGGCTACTATGTTTTACCCCTGCTATGGTTCCTAATTAGCCATCCCTCTTCTAGGGCCCGGGTCTTCCAAGAGTCAGGAGGGTTCTCTGAGTTTAGCTTTGTGAGCACGGGGTCACTGCACTTTCTTCACAGCAGCCTCAGAGTAAGCTCTGCAGCCACTTCCTGAGCCCATTGCACTCACCCATCTGCAGTGGAAATTTCTAGTTTCTGTCACACTGTACCTTCACAACAGGGCTAAAATAGCTACCACTGCCCACCCACCCCCACCCCCGGGAGGGGAACTTTTCAAACTTTCTCTTGCATAAACACACCTTGTCACCATTTATTTCCTGCTACTGCCTCACCAAATGGAAGAGGTTGATGGGCCTGGGAATTCTTCCTGGGAAGAGAATAGGTACTGCTGTGGGGTTTCCCAGCATCTTGGGAGTTCCCAGTGTGAAGTAGGTACTAGACATGGCAGGCACTCCTGGATGGCTTTTCTTCTCCTGAAAGATTCTGTGAGGCAGTCCCAGATTCGGAGGCCAGCCTGCCATCATGTCCATGAGACGTTCCGATCCACCAGGCCCTTCTGCTCATCCAAGGTGCGGGATCCAAGGTGTCAACATGGCTGGAGTCTAACTTCTTTTCAGAACCTTTGGAGAAAATCCCTGGAGACATCACTTTGTTCAGAGTCCTAGTGAAGCACAAACGTATGACACATGCCAACAATGCAGAAGGACTGAAGTCAACCACAGTCACCCCGAAGGACAGGCTGGTGCTGTGGCAAAGTTGTTGCTAAGCTCTACACAACAGTGACTCCCAGGTGTCTCAGAGCTCTTAAACCTGAGGTGGTGAGGAGTGCCACAATCCTCCTAAGCCCAGTTTGCAGAAATGATCTTGATTCCTCACCTCTGACACCTCTTGTTTGCTGTTTGGGAAGATAAACTCAGGCTGCCCTTGGTAACAGGGATGCCTCGCTGCAGGATCCTTGCAAGCCTTAACCTGCAAGAATCTCCCTTGTCCCAAGTAACTTTAGACAGACTGCTTATTGGGGATACCAAAGGCCTCAAAGAATGGGATGCAATACTTAGCTAACTGCCCTGAAGACTATTCTTCAGCGAGATCGCTGGGACTAGGATCTCACGTTTGGTTTTGTGGTTTGCTCAACCTGGTCTCTACCAGAGACCCTTTGTCATCACCACTGGCCATGCTGAGTTCAATCCTCACATAAAAGTCTTCTTGGTAACTCTCTTCCTGATTCTTCTCAACTACATTTCCCCACTATAATGTCCAAACTGCCCTCATACACCCCAAAATAGTCCTTACTAAAACATGAATCTCATCATGTTTCTCTCGAGACCCACTTCTTTCAGTAGCACTTTGTAGACTGCAAAACTAAGTCTCAGCTGCAGATTCTCTTCTGTCCTCTATTCCTATCCAAGATCGGATGGACAGACACCCCGGGAGACCAAAGACTCGGTGCTCCTACATGTGGAGATAATGTGGCATGACTCTTATTATTTTAAATGCTGATTGTCTTAGGGTTTCTATTGCTGTGACAAAACACCATGAGCAAAAGCAACTTGGGTAGGAAAGGGTTTGTTTCCATTATCATGCAGGGAACTCAAGGCAGGAACCTGGAAATAGGAACTGTTGCAGAGGCCATGGAGGGATGCCTCTTACTGGCTTGTTCCTCGTTACTTACCCCTCCTGCTCTTACAGCACCCAGGACCACCAGCCCATGGGTGGCACTATCCACAGTGACCGTGCTCTCCCACATCAAACATCAATGAAGAAAATGTACCACAGCCTTGCCCAAAGGTCAGTTTAGGGGGAGGGGGCATTTTCTCAATTGAGGTTCCCTTTTCCAAAATGACTCTAGCTTATGTCAAATTGACATAAAACTAGCCAGCATACCTATGGAAAACAACATGCACCAAATATTCGTTGAATAATTGAATATATTTGAATTTACCTGCTATTCAAAGGTATTAAATTGTGTGTGTGTGTGTGTGTGTGTGTGTTTGATTTACAGGTATGTACTACCATACCCTACTCAAGATATTTAATCTTGAAGCCACATTGCTAAGGATGAATGTAGAACAACCTCCCTCCTCTCTGTCTCTCTGTCTCTCTGTCTCTGTCTCTCTGTGTCTCTCTGTGTCTCTGTCTGTCTGTCTGTCTGTCTGTCTCTCTCTCTCTCTCTCTCTCTCTCTCTCTCTCTCTCTCTCTCTCTCTCTGTGCATGTGTGCACACATGTTTGTGTGTCCTGAGACCAACCAGTGGGGATAGTTTTGAGCACAGCTCAGGCAATAGAGGAGGTCTGCACTGGGAGTCATTAAGAGTCCTCATTGCTGGTGGCTGTTAAGCTAGGGCAGACCTGTGCATGCTTTTCTGGGTTGGTTTTTGGGGTTTTGTTTTTGTGACTTGGCCACTGTAAGGAATAACTTTATTCCTTTGTATTCAGTTGGCCTGTGCCTGGCCTTAGAAGGAGCTGGAAGGGAAAAGGGAAAAGGCTTTGGGAGGAGGCTGGAAAGGAAGGCCTCACCCCTTCCTGCCCTGTGCCCAGTGCTGATTCAGCGTCCCTGACAGGGATGTAATCTGCAGTAAATACACAAAGAGCCTGAGGAACCACCACACCAGCACACCAGGTCCTACTTCCTCATCACCTGGTACGATACAGCAGAGAGTGGGGCAGTCCAGGAAACAAGACCAAGTCTGCAGAGAGACACTAAGGATGCCGTGTTCCCAGTGCAGAAGACCAAGTCAGCAGAGAGACACTAAGGATGCCGTGTTCCCAGTGCAGAAGACCAAGTCTGCAGAGAGACACTAAGGATGCCGTGTTCCCAGTGCAGTTTCTGTTGGAGGCAACTGCATGGAAAGATACTATACAATCATTAAACCATGTCTACTAAGAATAGAAGGTCTGCTTAACAGATCACCATGGGGAACAGAGACAGGGAAGTGCATATAGAAAAAGACCTAGGACATAAGCAGTCTGCACATCTTAAGGATTAGCTTGTTCCTGCTGCCGTGGGGTGGAAACACCTGTTGTACTGACTGTTTCCCTCTGCTCTTGCTGTGTCAAGGGTCAGAGCACTCTTAGACACAGTGTGTTTCTTTCTCAAGCGAGGTTGTTGGCAACTGCTTGGGAACTCCTCCCCTACCTTCTGACTGGGCTTGGTCCACCCTCCTGGATGATGCACCTGACACATAGACCCTGTCCCTTATCTGAGTTCCTAAGGGACACCCCACCCCTCCCTAGGAGAATCAGCCTTCTGTTATGTAAGCAGCAGAGATGCTGGCCCTTTTCAGCTGGCTCTGGTCTGCTTTTGTGTCTTCTAAAAGGAGGTGAAAATGTTCCTTACTTCACAAGGCTATGTGAGGAAGAAAATGAGTTGCTATGTGCAGTGCCTTGCACAGAGTGCACACCCTGACACACTCACTGTCCTTGTAGGGTACGGCCGAACATGGCCCCCATGTCACACCATCATTGGTACAAAGTCCAGGACTTTTCTTGTCTGTGTGTGTGTGTGTGTGTGTGTGTGTGTGTGTGTGTGTGTGTGTGTGTGTGAGAGAGAGAGAGAGAGAGAGAGAGAGAGAGAGAGAGAGAGAGAGAGAGAGAGAGAGAGTTTGTATGTGTGTTTATGTGAAAGTAAAGCCTGATGTTGGATGTCTTCCTGGATCTCTTGAAACTTTATCTTTGAGACAGGGTCTCTCACGGAACCCAGTACTTAGGGTTATCTAGACTAACAAGCCAATGCCCTCCCTGGATCTGCTATCCCTGTCCACTCCATGCAACACAATTAAACCTGGCTGGGGTTTTGTTTGTTTCTGTGTGTTCTGGGGATCTGAATTCAGGTCCTCAGCTTGTGTGGCGGGCACTTCGCTAACTGAGATATCTCTCCAGCCTCACTTCATTTTTTGAGCCAGAATCTGCCACTTGGACCTGGGACTCACCAATTAAGAGGGGCTGGCCTTCCAGAAAACTCCAGGCATCTTCCTGTTTCTACCAGTGCCAGATTACAAGGGCACACCACCTTTCCTGGCTTTTCATGTGAGTGCTGGGGATCAAACTCAGACCTACATGTTTACCCAACATGCACTTAACCAACCAAGCCTGCTACCCATGCTCCCTATTACTATTCTTGAAGAGCAAAATAATAGTAACACCTCTGCCATGGGCAGCTATAAGAACAAAATGGGCAATGCACATGTTGGCCCTTACTATATATAGACTAACATAGAATAAATATGAGCAAGTGCCTTTGAAATTCCCACACTCCAAGAAGGGGCTGTCTAGATGGCTAGTTTGTTCAAACAAAGATGTCTGCCCCGCTGCAATAATACTAATGACAGTGTGTGTGCTCACCTATTCTGATCCAGTCCCATAACTTCCTTCAAGACTTGGCAAAGTCTTGGTGAAGTGCCCCATGACCACTCCAGCCCTTTCCTCCGTGCCCCTCTCCAGGCACCACAGGCCGTGAACTCCTGAACAGCAGCTCTCCCGACAAGCCTCAGACTTCTTCTAGGTGGTAACTGGCAGTGTCTCCACGTCTCGTGAAAGCCTGAGAAGCACAGACTGCTCTGTTTGCTAGGCCCCATGGCTGGTGAAGTCTCTGGTCATATTTAGAAATCACTCAATGAGCACTAACAAGTTGAACATAGACATTGAGCCCTGAACAGAAAAGCAAGAGGCTAAGGAAGGAATAGATCCCCCTGGACCTGATTACACTGTTTTCCTTCCAAGAACCAACTAGTAGCTCTCTATACCCTCTTCTATTTAACCTTATAATGTTAGAAACCTGCCATTAACCTGCCCTGGACTGCAGTGTGATCATCTTATGCGTGTTTGTTGGGCATCTATTATGGACCAGGTACCATTATAGGTGAAAGGAAATCAACCCCAAGCAAAACAGAGACCCCCTCTTTCACAGAGGTACAATCCTATTGAAAACAAAGACCACAAACACACAAAGCATGTACTTGAGCATTAAATAGTAGGGAGGCTATTATGGTAAACAAAGCTAGGGCAGGGAAGAGAGTCACAGAGCCAGGAAGGATGGGTGACATTTCCAATGGGGTGGCCAGGAAAGGCCTTTGTTGTGGCTTGAAGTGTGTCACCCCTGAATTAAGATGTGGAGTCCAAGCCTCAATCTAGGAAGAAGAACTCTTTTAAAGATAGTCTTTACATACGTAATCAAATTAAGACGGCTCGGGATGGGCCCTAATATAACGGATGTTCTTCTAGCATAGACATTTGGAAACGGACACGGACAGGAAGGAGAGCACAAGAAACTTCTGGAAAGCAGAAGACATGATGCCTCTGCCTGTCGAATTACACAGGAGACAGGAGGATTACGACAGTCACATATGACACAGAGGACAAGGACATCTAGCTATAGACCCTCAATTCCAATTCTTCATCCCACAGCTAGACCAACTTTCTCCCCAACAGAAAGGAAGTACTAAGACAATTTTTTTTTTAATGTGTTAACTCCTATGACTGTCCTGGGAAGGCTAGGGGTGTGGCTCAGGTGGTAGAGGGCTTTCCTAGCATGCCCAAGCCCACCACTTAAAATGGGCATGTTGGCATGGGCCTGTAATCTCAGGTCTTGGGGAACAAAGGCAAGATGATCAGAAACTCATCATCCTCAGGCTACCCAGAGATCCCAGCAGCATCAGCTACACGCAGCCTTGTGAGGTTTTCTGTGGGTTTTTTTTTTTTTTTTTGGTAATTCTTTTAATTTTGAGAGTATAATACAATTATATAATTCCCTTCTTCCCTTTCCTCCCTCCAAACACTCCCATATACCCCTCTTTGTTCTCCTTAAAATCAATGGCCTTTTTTTTTCATTAATTGTTAGTGTCTGTGCTTGTGTGTGTGTGTGTGTGTGTGTGTGTGTGTGTGTGTGTGTGTGTGTGTTTTCAGGGCTGACCATTTGGTGTGAAATAATCAATAGGTGTGCTTTTTCTTGGGAATACTACTTCTGCTCTTGGCATTCCTCAGTGGTCTGTAGTTCTTTGTGAGGACTGAGTCCCTGGCCCATGTTTAAGCAGGCAGTGATGCTGGTGATGCTGGTGATGCTGTTGATGCTGGTGAGACTTTATGGGTGGAGCGTCTGTCACTCCTAGAAGACAGTCTCACAGCGACTCTCTAATCCTTTGGCTCCTACAATCTTTCTGCTCTCTTTTCTGCCATGTTTCCCGAGCCTCACGTATAAGAGTTGTTTTGTAGATGTAGCCGCTGAGACTGGACCCACAGCTCTCTATTTTGATCGGTTGTGGGTTTCTGTAGTGGTCTTCATCTGTTGCAAAGAGAGGTTTTCTTGATGAGGGGCGAGAACTGCACTTCTCTGTGGACACAGAGCAAACAGAGTGCAGTTAGGGATGAGGCTGGTTTAGTCAGGTGGTGGCTGTAGGTTCTCCTCCAAGATCCACGACGTCACTAGCCCCAGAGAGTGGCCTGGGTTTCCGTCAGTAGGCATGGCTTTCCTCTTGTTGATCGCATAGGCTTTTTCTTTGTTTGTTTGTTTTTGTTTTTTAGAAACAGGGTTTCTCTGTGTGCCCTGCCTGTCCTGGAACTTGCTGTGTAGACCAGGCCCAAACAAGATCCTTCCAGTTCTGCCTTCCAACCACTGAGATTACAGATGTGTGCCTCGTAGCCCAAGTTATCCTCAAACTCACTCTGTAGTTGAAGATAAGTTTGAGTCCCTGATCTTCCTCCCACCACCTCCCAAAGTCTGGGATTAAAGGCCCAGTTTGAGAAAGTTGTAATCTACAATGTATTCACTTCACGATGGCACAGGATACTCATTTGCAGGTAACATGCTCTTTGCTCCAATAGTAACTAAGACATTTGCGACACCTGGTGGACATATGGTGGTCCTGCACACAATTTAAGTAAGAGTGTTCGAAAGGGCCTGGTTAAATCAAAGGACACAAAGGAGCACTGTTCTAAGAAGCCTGTGCCAGCTTGGTGAGGCAATGGCTTTGCAGTTTTACTGGGATGTGGCCCTAGGGGGTTACTCTCTGTTTTTAGAATGTAACACACTTCTTTTCTTCTTTGTTACATACTGATGTCTAGCGGGTAAGTAGCCCAGCTGGAAAAGGTCGCCTAGAAGTTGTGAGCACAGAGGATAGGTCGGGTCCAGCTTCGGCATCTCCCATCGCACCACTCACCCTCTGAAGGTATGAAAACACCTGCTGGGCTCCCTGGAGCTCCATCTGCCTGCATCCTGCCAAAACCTCGCCTCTGGCTGCTCCCTGACTCTAGCTACACCCTACTGAGACACATGTAGTCCCTCCCGGCTGAGAAACTCCACCCGTGAGCTACACAGTGTCCTATCTCTGTGGGCACTGAGTGTAGTGTCACAGGGGTGGCCTTCCCTGTCTGCATTCTGTGGCTCTTCATTGAAATGACTCTTCTTCATGCCCCCAGTTCTCAGTCCCTGGATGCCTGTCATGGACATTTGGCCTGTTCTGTCTCCTGACCAGAGTGGACCCCTCCTGACAGCCAGGCAGCTCATTTCCAGCCAAGTGAAGACATCTGATATGGCCAGCTTCCTCCAGACTCCAAACCTGTCTCCATGTGCCCAGGTACATATGGTAGGAGTCTGTGTGACTATTGGAAGGGTCATGGTAGAGGACAGTTTTCTGCCCAATGTGACACTGTGAGCCAGCATAAAGATAACCAATGACATGCTCACCTGAGGCAAAGAGCCTGTGGAGCTGTTGGGGTGCCAAGGGAGCCCTTTCAGACTCTTCCCAGCATCCTGGTGTTTATCTGTCCCCAGAACTAGTGGCGATCACAGCACATTCCTGAACACCATTGTGAAGGTGAATGGAGTCACTTTCCTGGTGGGTTCCCACAGCCACACCTGAAGTCCAAGGGTACCATTAGCCCTGTAAGGCTTGGGAATAGAGTCCCCACTTAGAGGAGACCAGATGAGGCTCAGAAAGCTGTGCTCAGAGTATACTCTCATGGGCTAGGGTGCTAAGAATCTGTCCTGCTCCACCCTGCCAGAGCAGCCAAGCCAGAAGCACAAAGTTTACACCCGATGGAGGCCTTTCCCCCTCCCTCCTCTCCCCACAAAGTGACTTGACAGCAGGGCGAGAAGGGAGAGAGCCTCAGCTTCCATCCTTCAGGCACCCAAACCAGCCCAGTGCTTGCTCCTCCAGGTCATTTGTTCTTTGGTGTAGGTGGGGTTTGTGGCCACCTCTCTCTCTCTCTCTCTCTCTCTCTCTCTCTCTCTCTCTCTCTCTCTCTCTCTCTCTCTCCCTCTCTCTCAGACAGGGTTTCTCTGTGTATCACTGGCTGTCCAGGAATTCATTTTGTAGACCAGGATGGCCTTAGACTCCGAGATCCCCTGCCTCTGCCTCCCAATGCTGGGATTAAAGGCGTGGACTACTGCTGTTGGTTGCTTTTACTCTTTGCTCTTTGGGGGGTCCTCCACCCAGCTCCCAAATAAATCACACATGGAGGCTTATTCTTAATTATAAATGCCTGGCCTTAGCTTGGCTTGTTTCTTGCCAGTTTTTCTTAAATTATCTCTACCTTTTGCCTTTGGGCTTTTTCCTTTTCTTAGTTCTGTGTATCTTACTTTCACTCTTACTCTGTGGCTGACTGTGTGACTGTGTGGCTGGCCCCTGGCATCCTCCTCTCCTTGTTCTCTTGCTCTTTCTCCCTCTCCTCCATGATTTCTCTTTCTATTTATTCTCTCTGCCTGTCAGCCCTGCCTATCCTTTCTCCTGCCTCACCATTGACCATTCAGCTCAGGTGTTTTAGACAGGCACTACTTCATAGTTGAACAAACACAACTTCACAGAGTTGAACAAATGTAACATAAAAGAATGCAACACGTCTTTGCATCATTAAACAAATGTTCCACAGGATAAAAAAAATGTAACACATCTTAAAGTAATATTCAACAACAGACCACCATGCTCTGCTATGGCCACACTTTTCAACAAGGCCTCAGGTCCCAATGCTACCCAGCCTCCATCTAGAAAAACCTGCATTTTCCATTGTGCCTAAAGGTCACTAAGGACCTAGGACAAAGCAAAAATAGGGCCTGGAAGCCAAGAGACATCCACAAAAATGGGGATAAACAGGCATTTGAGAGCAGCAGATAATGAGTGGGGCTCTGTCCCTTCTCTGGCCAGCAGTATCTGAACATTTTGTCTTCAAAGAGTTCTTCTATTTTGGAGATGCCAGATTTGTTTGGATCCAAGGTTTGCTGTTATGTGACCAGCCAAGGTGAGATGGACAGACAGGAAACAAGGCATCCTTCCAAGTGACAGAGGTGGTGGACTTTGTAGCCAGGTGTGGTGGCTTATACCTGTCATCCTGGAACTTGGGGGTGGGGGCATGCTGAGGCAGGGGGATTGCTGCTTGTTCAGGTCAGCCTGTGCTACACAGTCCCAGACCTGACTGTGTAACAGACTGAGACCCAATCTCAAAAATTAATTAAATTAACTAAATTAAACTTTCTGCATTTCTTAATTGTACACAAAGCCCTTTCAATGTGGAGCACATTCCTTTTTGACATGCTATTTCTCTTTTCTTAAAAAAAAAAATGAGTTACTGGTCTCAGAGATTTCTATTACATTTATTTATTCATTCATTCATTCATTCATTTTGGGTGCATGTTGGGGGTGAGGATGTGGGAGTCAGAGGACAACTTTCAAGAGTGGTTCTCTCTCCTTCCACCATTTGGGTTCCAGGGACTGAACTCAGATTGTCAGTCTTTAGCAGCAAGCGCCTCACCTGATGAGCCACCTCACTGGCCTGTAGAGATTTTTTTTTTAAGTGAGAGAAATCCTGAAGATTCAGAGGGTCTCAGTAACTTCAGCTAGAAACTAAAGATAACCCATCTTCTTTTATTTGCTTTGTTCTTGGTTTTGTCTCATATTGTTTGTTTTGTCCTTTGTGAGACAAGATCTCACTCTGCAGCCCAGGTTTGGCGGGAACTCACTATGTAGCCCAGGCTAGCCTGGAACTTGTAGAGATCCTTCTTCAGCCGCCTGAGTGCTGACATCACAAGCTTGCAGCTCCTAACTCTTCCCTCCGCTGCTCTGATCATCTCACTCCATCATCAGTACTCCAGCTGAAAGACAGCTGCCTCGTAAGTCAGAAAACTTCACTTCTGATCCTTGCTAAACCATCTTCTCAGAAGTGCGACCTTGGGTACAAATCAAGTCATTTATCCTCTCTGGGCCCAATACATTCTACATGCAGAACCTTAGTCAGGCATCCAGGGCATAGGCTGGTGGGTTCATTCATATTTATTGATGACCTTGTTCATTCAGTAGTCCATCCACTGGGAATCATGAAAGGCAAGAAGACACAAGGTTTAATAAAACATGGCCCTTGCCTGTGAGCAGCCAGTATGACATGATGGGAAGCTCTGATTTGAGGGTTGGGGGAACCACAGCCAGGTCCTAGGTTTGTAGGTTTAGCTGAGTTTTTATTATTTCATAGTTTTGTCATCTATAGAATGGAATTAATCTATTAGTTGACCAACTATCCCAGTTTGCTTAGGCAGAGAGATTTCCCGGGGCACAGGAAATTTCCAAGATAAAACTGGTACTTTGAATGTAATTGGCCTCTATAATCCATAGGGAGTGGTGCTATTAGGAGTTTGCCTTTGCTGGAGTGGGTGTGGCCTTGTTGGAGGAAGTGTGTCACTGTGGGGGCAGGCTTTGAGGTTTCCTATGCTCAGGATACTGCCCAATGTCTCAGTTGACTTCCTGTTGCCTGCAAGATGTAGGATCTCAGCTACTTCTCCAGCACCACGTCTGCCAGCACACTGCCATGCTCCCTGTCATGATGATAATGGACCAAACTTCTAAAACTGTAAGTGAGCCACCCCAATCAAATGTTTCCTTTATAAGAGTTGTCATGGTCATGGTGCCTTTTCACAGTAATAGAAACCCTAACTAAGACAAAAGCCTAGAAAGTTCCAGGCAAACTAGGATGAGTGGATCACCTGAAGAAAAGATGAAGAGGGGCTGGAGAGATGGCCCAGTGGTTAAGGGCACTGATTGCTCTTCCAGAGGATCCAGGTTCAATACCCAGCACCCATATGGCAGCTAACAACTGTCTATAACTCCAAGATCTGACACCCTCACACAGACATACATGCAGGCAAAACACCAGTGAACATAAAATGGAAATGAATGAATGAATGAATGAATGAATGAATGAATAAGTAAATAAATAAGTAGATGGAAAGATTTTTTTAAAAAGATGCACAGGAAGGGCCGAATGCAATGCTGAATCTCAAAGCTGCCTTCTAAATTCAGCTCTCCTACATTATATATTATATAGTGTGTACTCCATCTGTGTACATGTGCATACACAACTGCTGATTTTCACACACACACACACACACACACACACACACACACACACACACACCATTCCTAGCATCATAAAGAGAAAGAACTTTTGTAGCTAGAGTTTTCCTGCCTGGCCCACAGTCAGGACAAATCTCTCTCACCTGCCAGTCCCACAGCCGCTCAAACCCGACCAAGTAAACACAGAGACTTATATTGGTTACAAACTGTATGGCCGTGGCAGGCTTCTTGCTAACTGTTCTTACAGCTTAAATTAATCCATTTCTATTAATCTATACCTTGCCACTTGGCTTGTGGCTTACCGGCATCTTCACATGCTGTTTCTCATCATGGCGGCTGGCATTGTCGCTCTGACTCAGCCTTCCACTTCCCAGCTTTATTCTCCTCCTTGTCCCGCCTACACTTCCTACCTAGCCAATGGCCAATCAGTGTTTTATTTATTGACTAATCAGCAACACATTTGCCATACAGAACATCCCACAGCAAACTTTACATGAAAATACAGTTTATCTAAGGGAATGGGAGGGTAGGTTCAAGGGAGCTGGGGAAACCTGGGGGTGGAGGCGTGAGCTGTATCAAGCGAGGGATGTAACTCAGGGATATTACATTTGTTCGTTTGTTATGTTTATTTTACAGAGAAACTGAAACACGATTGTAGATTGTGCTGTTCAGAGTGTCTCAGGGACCAAGTCCTCAGCGTCCTGAAACTGACGGGTTCCGTGTGTTTCAGGCGCCCTCTTGTGGCTAATGTGCTCAGAAGGCCTCGGAGCCGCTTGAGCTTTGCAGGGATAAAGTGGGCGTAAGCGCCTCCCCACCCAACGCGGATAGCTTGATTTTGCCCTTATTCAATCTACTTCTTTCCCTACCAGCTCTGCTCATGTGCATCCGATTCTGCCGTTCACAAACTAGTTCACTGTCTTTTTGACTTTTCATAACCTCAAGAGGAAAACGCATCAAAGGCTGTACGAGATGCGTTTAAGGAAGACTGAAACCCTGGAATTTCTGATTGCACAGGGTCACAATGTGGGGTCCTTTGCTGCTGTAAGCCTGCAGCCCCCTTTTCCTTTGTTAGGTATTGTTTTGCAGGAGACCATAGATTTGAACTAGATGCCTGCACCAGGCCAAACCCATCCAAACCATTTGCTAAGTTATAGTAAGTGATTTTTAGCTAATTGCAGAGGCACTGTAGCTAGTTAACTGAGCTGTAAGAAGCTAGTAAACCTGTAACCAATTGATGGGTTGACTGTCTAGGTTGGAGCCAATCAAGTCTTTTCCATGCTTCACTCTGTCTCTTGGATATGCTGTCTGATGATGTTGCTAGCATTGACAGAACCTGTTCTGGGGTGGAGGGATCCTGATTCTGGGAATCATTGTTACGTGGGTTTTTTTGTTTTGTTTTGTTTTGTTTTTGTTTTTCAGATAAACACCATTCAGTTAAACTTGTCAAGATTTCTTGTCGGTTTGCTTGTGTGCAATCATGTTTGTGTATGTGGTGTTAGAGACAGAATCCAGGGCCTCTCAAATAGCAAACTGATGAGTTATAAACCCCCAGCCCTAAGGACTTTTTATTTTTATTTTTTATTTCTTAATGTCTGGGAGAGAAAAAAAAAATTACTAGAGGCATGGGTGAACCGGGGAGTTTGCATGTGAAATGTGCAGCTGGGCTGGATTCTAGCTTGCTGCTGGAGTAGAAGGCCCCCTGCTGTAACTACTGAGGTCAGCTAACAGCTGGCCTGAGGAGCACACTGGGAAGCCAGGGGAGTATTATTGGAGTGCAGTTAACTCCCCTAGCTTGCCAGGCAATTGCACAGGACACAGGGCAACTACGGACATCAGCCCAGACTGCTAGAGTGATCCCATCTGGCACTGAGCAGCTGTCTGGTGGAACAAGTTTTGCAGATGACCTCCACCTCCTTGGTGAGCAGAGTAAATCAGTCTTTTTTTTTTCTCTCTCTCTCTCTCTCTCTCTAAGAGAGGGTCTCATTCTGCAGTCCAGACTGGTCTGGAACTCACCATTTAGCCCAGGCTAGACTCGAACTTACCATCAATCTTGTGTCTCAGCCTTCTGAGTGTTGGGATCACAGACATGAGCTACCACGCCTGGCTAGGACAGTCTTTAAAACAATAAAGGGCCTCTGAGGTTTGGCTTGCCTGTTCCTTGGGAAGGCTTTGGTCTCCTCTGCAGCAGCTTGGTGCTGAGACAGTAGAAAGGATAAGTGGCTCTCTGCACATGAGCATGCACACGAGGAAGCTTTGGAACTACCCAGCACCTTTCCTCCTGAAGGACAGAGTGAGAAAAAAAAAGTTACTTACCCACAAAAATCTGTTTCCTGTTCCAAAGTGGAGGCTGTGAGGGTTGAAAAGGGGGAATTTCATTTATTTCCATTTATTTCAGCTGTTTTAATGAACCTTACACACAGAGAGAAACACACACGGGCCATTTGGAGGGCCCAAGTAGATGATGGCTTTGGTAATGGACAAAGATACTTATGACCAGGATAGGCTGGGACAGTTGTGGAAGGCAACTGTGTCCTCCACAGAGAGCTTTCAAGATGAGGCAAGCTTCATCAGAGCTGAACACACCATTGCCTCTGGATCCCCCATTTGGTTCCTGTCCAGATCAGAGGTGACCAGAAATGATGGCCATCTGTCCACTATTTCTTAGGCTCCAGCTGGGGCCAAGCAGGCCTGGCATGTCCCACCAACCCTGTCTCAACCCTTAGGGCAGAGAGCCATGCTTGCCTGCCTCTCCTTCTCAGGTTGTGGAGGCTGTGTGCAGGATCACTTAAGTAACAGAATCAAACACTCATTGACAATCTCCAGCAGTAAGCACTGGACTATGGCGCTTTGCGTACAGTATGTCAGAGAATCTTTCTCAGTGCCGTGGAACAGACTGCCATACTACAGAACTATAAGCCAGGTGGCTTAAACAACATGTTTTTTTTCCTGAGTTCTGGAGGCCAGTGAGTATAAGATTTGGGGGTGTGGCAATGCTCTGCTCTCTCTGAAGGCACTCAGGAAGTAGATCTCTCTTGGTTTCATAGAGTTTAGCATTTAATTCCAGTTTTCAAATGGCATTCTCCCTGAGCGTTTGTCTATCTCCAAATTCCCCTTTTATGAAGACATTAGTCATGCTAAATTAGGGACCCATTGTATTCCAGCAGGGTCATATCTACAGTGACCCTGCAGGGAAACACCGTGGGTCTTGAGAGTTAGGACTCCAACACAGGGTTATTACAGATACCCAACTGAATCAAATAACACCCCCCACCAACTAATAAATAACAAATCTCAAGCCTCAAGGAGTTACATAACCTAGCTGGTCAGAGGCCAAGCTGGCACTGGAACCCAGGGCTGTATGATTCTAGAGTAGAAATTTTTTCAGATCCCAGTGAGCAAGGGGTTCACCTGAGGGCTTGTCTGGTCAGCCTGCTGTGTCCCCGTAGATCTTCAGGGGTGACTGCTCTCAGGTAGGGCCAGAGCGTGTGTGTTTCTGAGAGTTCTACTGGACAAAGCTGTTGGTCCAAGATGGCACTGAAACTGCTCCCCCAGCGATGGCCACTGTGCACGGAAGTTACCTGAGAGCCCCAGCGATGGCCACTGTGCACGGAAGTTACCTGAGAGCTTGTTAATTATTCTTTTAAGCAGACACTGTAGCTCATTCCCAGAACTTCTGATTTGGTCAGTCTGGGTGGGACCCAGGAATCTACTGTAAACAAGTAGATCCTGAGCCACATGCTCATCAGTCGCACTTCCCACAGATGGGGTCCTCTGCCCGTGTCTTGGGATCAACTAGGAAGCTTCCAGGAGCCCTGAACTGATGCCCGAATCCACCTTCAAGGAGATTCTCATTCTGGGAGGTATGCCGTAAATCATTTGTTATTTTATTAAATTATCTATTTTAGGTTCTTGTTGATGCTCAAACCTGTACAAAAATTTGAGATCCCTGACACAATGCCAAGCCTGGTAAAAAGCTACCAGAGGCCTGCTTGCGGAGAAAGTCAAGTGAATTGGAAGTGCCTTTTCCTTTTGGACAATAGAACTCACTGGTTGCCACTCTGCAGTTCCTGGCATCCGATACCAGCTGGGGGAGGAGCCTGCCTCACGCTTGCTCCGTGTGCTGTGTGCTTTGTCAGGTGGTGTGCGGCTCTTCCTGAGCCTTCTAGCAGTGTAGTACCCTGTTGCTTCGGCAGGTGTCAGTGTGGTCAGGAAAGTGAGCCTGCCAGATCCTGAAGCTTGGGCAGCCACAGCTTAAGAGAACAGGAAATAGCTGTAAATAACCATAGTTCCCAACTGGACCAAGATGCGGGTCCTGTAGCTACTTGCCAGGTCTCCCACAGATGCTGTGTGAGAGGCAGAGGCCCCCTTTGCAACACAGAGACAGGACCCCAAGCAAACCCTACCATGCTGAACAGGTCCAGAGCCGGTTCATCATGAACCTACTGAGATCCAGTGTGTGGATCAGGGAAGGGAGAAGTGGTCCATTGTGCTTCCTTGCTTGGCATTTTGATCTAAGTATGCCCAATACTGGTGTGTGTGTGTGTGTGTGTGTGTGTGTGTGTGTGTGTGTGTGTGTGTGTGTGATATGAAACAGAAATGGGTGTGAAAGGCACAAGACCAAAAGCTAAGTTGTATACAGTGTGCACAATCACCAGAAACGGAATGTGAGCATGAAAAATTTAGTTCTCACTATTGCCTGGCCAGAAATATTCTATGTTGTCAGGAAATTTAAATCTAAAGAACTCTTAAGAGGTCACTCCAGAGGAGAGGCTCAGAAGTGTCTTTAACTTAGCACGTAAGATCACTCACTGCCTTACGTTGAAGTTCACATTTGAAGGAAAAGAAAAAACTTAGAAGTTTTCTCAACTTGACATCAATCCTAATCATTTATGTGATATTAAGAATAGTGACTTGGGAGTGGGGTGGGTAGAAAGATGGCTCAATGGTTAAGAGCTTCAGGCAGCTAGCTTGCAGGTACCTATAATTCTACCTCCAGAGGTTCTGAAACCTCCAAGAGCACCAGCATGCATGCGCACACAAACATATATACATACACACACACACACACACACACACACACACACACACACACACACACACACACATATATATATAATTTTTTAAGAATTTAAAGAATGCTGAATTTTTATTCCATGGCATAAATATACCATATAAGAATGTACACCCAAGATATAGGAAACAAACCAGTGGTGTGGGGTCAGATAGTTACTACATATTTATGATTAGCTATCTACCTTCCTATTTTAATAACTATATATAATTATGTATATATGATGTCAACTATGGACTTGGTTGTGATATTTGTCAGCTCATTTTACATTTTTAAAATGATTGTGATTTAATTTCTCATTTTATAGCCACTTTCATTCTTCCCCCATCCGCACATTAAGGTTCTGTCTAGGACGAATGAAATATAAAAGCAGTATCTCCTACAGCAGTGGTTCTCAACTTCTAGGTCACAACCCCTTTGGAAGTCAAATGACCTTTTCATAGGTGTTGTATAGCAGATATCCTGCATATCATATCTTTGCATTACAATTCATAATAGCTAATTACAGTTATGAAGTAGCAATGAAAACAGTTTTATGGTTGGAGGATCACTGCAACATGAGGAACTGTATTAGAGGGTTGCAGCATCGAGAAGGTTGAGAACCACTGTCCTATAGGAACTTTCTTGATGAACCATGGACATACATTATGCACTTCCACTAGCTAATCAGCAAGAAAAGGAAGAAAATGCTCAGGAGAGCCAAAGCTGTGGAGAGAAAGAGAGCTGGAGCCTAGCAGGCTAAGTGAGCCGGGAGATGAGCTGCTCCCAGCAGTCGCTAACTAGAAGCAGTAAGCAAGTGTACAGTCAGACACACAGAGCCTGTGGGAGGATTTTTTAACTCTCTGCTAGTCCTGTCTCCGAGAGCAACAGAAGCATTTGTTTAAATTAAGTCTTGCTTAAATTATAAGAAGATGAGCTAATTTTCAGTGTCAAGAATTCTTGGATCAGAGCCACGAGGTGGGGGAACACTCCCTACAGTACTGGTAGGGTGGGAGTGAGTCAAACATTTGGCTACTGTGGATTTCTAGGAGGCTTCTGGCATGGCCCCATGTTTAAAACAGTCACTCTCTGAGGGTCAGCCACTCCATCAATATTGCAGAGCCAAGGCCCAGCCCCATGACATATTCAGCATCTTTAAGGGAATCCAATTTCTAAACCCCACAAAAATAAATGTGAAGAAGAAAAGGTAAGAGCTAGAGGGGTTTCTCTGTGAATGGCTTCCTCACTACTCTCTTTTTAATTGTAGCTTTTATAAAGATCTTTGGGTTAGAAATCATTTTTTAAAACAGGCGATCTATAAGATTTAAAATATAAGGTGGGTATGGTGGCAGTCACTAGGTGGCTGGGGTACAGTCAGGAGGGTCAGAGTTCAAGCTCATCCTAAGCTATGTATGGACTTTGAAGGGAGCCTGGGCTACATGAGATGATGTCTCAAACAAACAAAGCCTAAAAATTAAGACAAAGTTGACCCTTCTTATATTGAAATATCCCAAACAGACAGACACGGATAGAAAATTGGAGTCTCCTGGCATTGGAAACTCGATAGCTAAACTTTTAAATTGATAGCATAGAGTTTAAGTTGGCCTATCAGAGGAAAGGAGAGGGCAGAGATCACAGTATCTAGTGGTCTGGCCTCCTCCTCTAAAGACTCTCAATTCCTTTGTCCCCTGGAAACAGCTCGTAGGGGGTCTCCAGGCCCTCCCAAGCATCACCAGCCAATTCAAGGTCTTGGTTAGATGACTTCCTTCATACCCACTTGCCTAGCTGTGCTTCTCAGAAAATACTTAGAGGCTGAGACAAACCAGATTTTTTTTTATTTTAAATTTTATTAAGAGGTAAATTGGGAGTTGGAAACAATCCCAACTTAACTTTCACAATGCTGTCACTAAGTGGCCACAAGTAATTTCCTGAGAGCACAGCCACCAGATGACAGTGAGCAGAACAACAGCCTGTCGTGGTCAGCAAAGCTCAGAAGGGCCAGCGATGCAGCACCACCACCCAGCCAATCATCAGTGTGCTCTGCTGAACCTTACGTGGGAGACCAGAGTGTACAGATTGGTGCCATTTGGGTCAGAACTGCCTGAGCAGCTTCTCTATTGAATTTTCAGGATGAACATAATCATTGAAAGTTAATGATGATGATGATGTCTAACAGAAAATCACTTGCCTGTGTTGATCTCAAGTTGGATCAGGTGCTGGGGACAGTTCACCTGGTGCCACTGACTATTCGGGGTATCTGAGTGCCACGGGCGTGAGCATTCCTGTTCTTTGAATTCCTGCAGGCACATGAAGGGAATGTGGACATTGAAAGGCAACTGGACCTAGTTCTTTAACTCCTTACAAGCAGTGCAAAGGTTGGCATACTTGTTGTCTTAATTGTCAACCCGGGGTGGGGGTGAGGTTGCTTAGACTCACCCAAGAGACAAACCTCTAAGCCTCTCTGTGGGCATTTCCAGAGAGACTTGACTAAGTAGGAAGACCAGTGCTGAATGTGAACATCGCTCTTCTATGTGCTGGGGTCCCAGACTGAATAAAAAGGCAAGAGTGAGTTGAGTGCCAGCATCCATTGCTCCCTGCTTCCTGGTGGTGGAGGCAATGTGGCCAGCTGCCTCAAGCCCTTGCTGCAATGGTGGCACACACCCTCAGACTGTGAACCAGAATAAACCCTTCCTTCTCTGAGTTGATTTTGCCACAACAGTTGAGAAAAGTGAAACAGTAGGGAAGTGGCTCCATGTCTGAGGCCCTCCATCTACCCACCTGTTAGAAAGGGAGGAAGGGAGGGACTGACTATACTACGCAGGGCAGGTGAGACCAAAGTGGCTGATGTTGTAAAAGGGCTTTGCATTGCCTCCACAGATGTAATAGAATGTGTCGTGCAAATGGAAGATTCTCTACCCCTAGCACTCTGAGACAGCACCTCCTTATCACAGGCTAGCCCCAAACTCCTGATGCTCCTGTTACCACCCTGTATTACAGATATACAGCCTCACCTGGATCATTTGTGTTCTTTTGAGACTGGGTCTGGCTATGTAGCCCTGTCTGGCCTGGTACTCACAACATTCCTTCTGCCTTGGCTTCCTCAATGCTGGAACTACAGGTTTGAGCAACCATGCCTTCAATGTGATAGGTGTGATCCCATTGTCGAAGCAAAAGGCAGGAATACTTAAAAAGCCTGTCAGACTAAACGCGCTTCACAGCTCTCTTGTTTCTGGTCTGAACGTCAAGCAGCTTCTTGCAAAGGCAGAATGGCTGCTAAGCATGCAGCAGCAGTGCCTGCATGATGGAACCAGTGCACACAAATGAATGTCTGGAAAATTCCGGCCAGCCTGCAGAGTGCTCGTCACCTAAGTTTTCATCCCAGTGAAGTCGATGTCCGGAGAACATCGCCAACCCAACAAAATGCAAGTCTCCTTCCCCTGCAATGGGGCTTTGTCCTGATATACCCCATGGTGAGGTAGAAGTAGGCTAACCTGGAAATGGGTGAGAAGCAGCTGACAACAACAACAACAACATGCACCTGAGAGGAGGGCTGTGTCTCCTGGTGATCACGTGGTCAGCTGGGAGCCGGGGGCTCCTGCTGTTGCTCAGGGTCGTGAAAGATGGTGTGACCTGTTGCCAGGCCTTTTTTTCCCACCATCATTAATTCCAGCTGCCATCTGGGAGGGACAATCTGTTGTCATTGCTTGCTCTCTGGACAGATACTTTTTCCAGTTTACTGATTTTTTTCTATTGATTTGTCATCTAGCCCAACGGTAGTTTTCTGTTTAGTTCTATTATACCTTACTCTAG